GCGCGATCTCGGCTCACTGCAACCTCCGCCTCCTGGGTTCAGGCAATTCTCCTGCCTCAGCCTCCTGAGTAGCTGGGATTACAGGCACGCACCACCATGCCCAGCTAATTTTTTGTATTTTTAGTAGAAACGGGGTTTCACCATGTTGACCAGGATGGTCTCTATCTCTTGACCTCGTGATCCACCCGCCTCGGCCTCCCACAGTGCTGGGATTACAGGCTTGAGCCACCGCGCCCGGCCCGTAAAATCTTTAATAAATAAGCCAGCTCTAAAATTATTGGAAAAGTAATATTAGGAATGTCTTAAAAATAGCCAGCATACATTTTTATTTGCATTTATTGACCATGGAATTTCATATTTATCCCTGCCAAATACTATAAGGTGTCAACATTTGACATAGGGATTACAAAACTATAAACATAGCCCAAGACAGAATGTTCTTTGCTTATGTAATCTTTAAAAAGTAAGACGTTGATATTGGTTTAATGATAATAGCTAAATCTTTAATTTAGTAACATTACCATAACTTATAATCTTGTGGCTTTAGGCAATCTAGTGCACAGGCAGTAAGGAGGTTTGTTTTGGAAAAGGACTTATTATCTTTGTTTCAAAGCTAAACTATAAGCTAAGTTCCTCCCAAAGTTAGTTCAGCCTACACCCAGGAAGGAACAAGGACAGCTTAGAGGTTAGAAGCAAGAAGGAGACAGTTAGGTCATATCTTTATCACTGTCTCAGTTATGGCAGTTTCAAAACTTTAAGTGATGTCTATCACAGTTTTCATAAATAATCTAGGTAAATTATTAAGATAATTAGGTATATGTAATGGGATACTTGTAGATAAATTACATGATTTAGAATCTAAAGTTAAATTAAATAATAGGTATTTCATTATTTGGGTATTTTTCAATAAAAACGTTGTAGGAAAACTTTTTTTACAAAATGGTGTGTTCTTTTAAAAAGGATGAACAATTTTTTGTCTAATTCAAAGATTATTTAAAGGTGACTTATAAAACAGGGTAAAAGGAACCAGGAAATAAGAGAGATGTAAAGAAAGTCATAGAAATAGAGACGTTTTTTGGTAAGAAAATTTAAAGAGAAATAATTTTATATGAGAAAGAATCTTGTAAATTTAGCTACAGAATAAAATGACTTGTTTAAGAGGGAGGAATGTTCAGGACAAACCAAAAAGTCCAAGCATTTAATGAATAGTCTACGTAAGTCACAACAAGAAGGTTTATTTAAAAATAAACTTTTATATGATTCAGTTGTCCATAATTAAAGGAAAATTGTAATGGTCTGTCTGGAGATTGGGTTTGATATACAAAAAAAACTTCAACTCACTTTCAGCTCATATAAGTTTATTTTCCTTAGGTTCTGTGTTTTGTTTTGCTTTGTTTTGTTTGTTTGTTTGTTTGTTTGTTTGTTCTTCTTTTTGGGGCCTGATGCTAACAATGTTTTTCTTAAAGGTCTAAAGGAAATGCGTTTTCTTCCAACATAATGTTTTGTGCACTGCATAAGGTCATTTCTTTTGCCTTTTGGTAACTGACCTAACAGATTTTATGTTTTATTAAAATAATTCCTATGCCATGTTCAGTTTGGTTTGCTTAGAAAGAAAAACTGAGATTAAAAATTTCTTTTTTTTTTCGGCTGGGTGCGGTGGCTCACACCTGTAATCCCAGCACTTTGGGAGGCCGAGGCGGGTGGATCATGAAGTCAGGAGTTTGAGAACATGCTGGCTAATACCCTGAAACCCTGTGTCTATTAAAAATACAAAAAATTATCCAGGTGTGGTGGCACACGCCTGTAGTCCCAGCTACTCAAGAGGCTGAGGCAGGAGAATCACTTGAACCCAGAAGGTGGAGGTTGCGGTGAGCCAGGATCATGCCACTGCACTCCAGCCTGGGTGACAGAGAGACACTGTGTCCAAAAAAAAAATTTTTTTTTAATTAAGGTTATATGTCCATGTATCTTCCTATATGTGCTTTTAAAGTTCTTGTGACATTAAGTTACAGGACTTTGACTCCTGGGTCTAAAAAAGACACAAAGTCCTGCCAAATCTTAAATACTGACAGCAATTCAACCTTCATCTTCTGGCCCAGTAGAAGATGCCCATCAAAATAAACTGCACTCCTGAGACACAGGGCCAGAAATTAAACCTGTTCAATTACTTAAAGCCCAGGGACTATAGCGGGAGAGGTGGGCATATGAGATTGTAAGGGCCAATTTTGAGAGAGAAAATAAGTTCAGTTTCTCTGTAAATTAACCACTAATGTCAAAGGCACACTGATGCAAGACCAGCATATGGGCCCCTGTGTCAGATTAACAAGATTTTCTTGAAGCATTAACTGACTCCTTAATAAAGATATAAATCTTATAAAGGCCTGTGGAAGTTATAATCTTATGATCAAGATTAAAATTTTATAGATTGTTTATAAAATTTTGGAGAACAAATTTAATTGGCTTTATGCTTTTTTTTTTTAAATGGAGTTTTGCTCTTGTTGTCCAGGCTGGAGTGCAATGGTACAATCTCAGCTCACTACAACCTCTGCCTCCTGGCTTCAAGTGATTCTTCTGCCTTAGCCTCCCAGGTAGCTAGGATTATAGGCATGCTCCACCACACTCGGCTAATTTTGTATTTTTAGTAGAGTCGAGGTTTCACTATGTTGGTCAGGCTGGTCTTGAGCTCCTTACCTGAAGTGATCCACCTGCCTTGGCCTCACAGAGTGCTGGGATTACAGGTGGAAGACACCGCAGTCAGCCTATGCTGTTTTTATTAGGGCTTATTGTTTGGAAAATTAAGCGTCCTTTCTCAAAGAATGAAGGGTTTCAACTTGTTTTGAAATCCTTGAGTTACCATTTTGGTTAAATGAGTGACTTATTTTGCAATGACCTGCGATACTATTGTGGAATATCAAGTTTTTAAAACCTTTGATATCTGGCACACTTTACAAAATCAAATGATAAATTATGTCTTTTTCTGACCTAATTAATCCTTTAAGATACTAGGCTTTTTAAAGTCCAAAAATGACATATTTGGCTTATTAGACATAAAAATTATACAGGAAGCATTGTCAAATATAAAATGGTATTTAGTTTTCTTTGGGCTGTATTTGTATAAATGTTATTGGTATGTGTTCCAAAATTATGGGAAACACCTATAATTTTGATATGAATTAATGTACATTACCAGTAATAATTATAATTGTTAGGTTAAATCGTGTGTCATAGAGGTAATAAATTTCCTTATGAATTGTGTCTTTTTTGCTCTCCTAAAACTTTTTGTTATCTACGGACAATTGCTGTCTTTGTTTTGGTTCTCTTAGAAGGTGGTTTTATAATCAGCTATAAAATTCTAACAGGTGCTCTTGAATTCAGGGCTTTTTTTTCTTTTTATGTAACAGGGTCTTGCTCTGGTGCTCAGGCTGGTGTGCAGTGGTGGGGACTCGGCGCACTACAGCCTTCACCTCCCAGCTCAGGTTATCACTTGCGTTATCACTTCGGTTAAATGAATGACTTATTTTACAATGATCTGTGATCCTATTGTGGAATATCAAGTGTTTAAAACCTTTGATATTTGTCACACTTTACAAAATCAAATGATAAATTATGTATTTTTCCTGGACTCTCGTGCCCCAGCCTTCTGAGTAGCTGGGATTACAGGTGTCTACCACCACTCCTGGCTAATTATTTTTTAATTGTTAATTGTTAACAATTTTTAAATTGTTAATAATTTTTTAATTGTTAAGAGACAGGGTTTCACCATGTTGGCCAGACTGGTCTTGAACTCCTGACCTCAAGTGATCCACCCACCTCGGCCTCCCAATGTGCTGGGATTACAGGTGTGAGCCACCATGCCTGGCCTTGAATGCAGGTTTATATTAACTTTGGAGACTGTGACATCAAAATAGAGGAAAATCTTTCAGGACTCATGGAGGCTGAAATGTTCATTAATATCAAGCAGAACAGGAATTAACGGCATTGAATAAACTAATAGAAGTCTGAAGTAATCTTTTTAACTTTTTGCTTAAAATGTTGCTGATCCTTTATTTTTCAGAGTTAAGGAAACTTTTATTTTAAACTATCTACAGCTTTTAACAATTGAGTATTTTAGAGTCCTATAAAAAATTTGGAGCATTTTTGTTTCTCTCTACCACCTGATTTCTACAGAATTTGGAAACTGTGAGTATTCTTAACTTACAATAATATGGTTATTTGCTTAAGCACAATAAGAATCTGTTTTCATTTGTAAGAAGATAAAATTTATGAAACTAGTTATTTTACCAAGGCTTTGACTGTAATGGTTTGCTTTTTTTTAAGGAATCAAACTTGACTTCTGGAGCCAATAAAAGCCCCTTGGAAAAACTGACTGCATACCTTAGGCTACACAGTTCTTGTACAGGGTTCCTGACCTGTGGTAAGTAAGGAATGTCACCTTCTGACAGGCCCCAAGTTTACCTTGCAACCTCAAAAGGAGAGGAATTCACCCAACTCATAAATATTTGATGATACAAATTTATGGCTGGGCTCAACTTTTTAAAAAAAGTCTTATCTCAGATTTATTTTATGGAACAAAGTTCCAACAAAGACAATTTAAAATCCTATGTAAAAAAAATATATATATATATTCGGCCAGGCACGGTGACTCATGCCTGTAATCCCAGCACTTTGGGAAGCCGAGGCAGGTGGATCATGAGGTCACGAGTTTGACACCAGCTTGGCCAGCGTGGTAAAACCTGTCTGTACTAAAAATACAAAAATTAGCTGGGCCTGGTGGTACGCACCTATAATCCCAGCTACTTTGGGGGCTGAGGCAGGAGAATCACTTCACCCTGGGAGGCAGAGGTTGTAGTGAGCTGGGATTGTGCTGCTGCCCTCCCACCTGGGTGACAGAGCAAGACTCTGTCTCAAAAAAAAAAAAAAATTATTCTTGTTGTACTGTATACAAATAATCAGGCCAAGTATAATAAAGCAAACCAGCCCTATCATGATTTGCTGTTAGTAAAAATGGGAAAATGGATAGAGAAAAATTATGTTTCAGAAACTATAGTATTCCTGTTGTTAGAGTCTAGTCTTGACTAATGTTTTTCAATTTGTATTATCTTCTACAATTTGGACCGAATTCTAATTTTTCTCGGCTATAAGTCTTCAATATAATGTTTTCAAATTTTTTTCCCCTTTTTACCTTATTTTTCCTAATTTGGAATCATCAAAAACTAAGCTTGCTTTCCTAAAGCCCTGCGAACTGAAGCTAGACCTAAACTTAAACTTCAGAAGAAAATAACAGCAACCCACTTGCATACGTAAGCCACTTTCATACCTGCCGACTGATATACGGACTTCAGAGTAATGTGACCTGTATCGATTTGTCAGGATTGTTCTTTTGTTACTGCTTTTGCTTTTTTAGACAACTGCTTTGGCAAACAGGCAGGCAGACTCTCACAAGGTCAAACATAGAGTTTAGCATATATAAGAAAACAACAGCCTAGAATGGCAGGCAGAAATAAAAGCTTAGGTTTATTGTTGCTGTCCCTGAGTCACTGAACTTATTTTGGAGCTGCCCATCATATGACCCCACAATTCCACTCCAGACTACTAAAGAGAAGTGAAAAGGGATATCCACACAAAAGCCTGTGCATGAATGCTCATACTAGCCTTAAAAACCATAGCCGAAGTGTAGGAATGACCCAAATGTCCATAACTGATGAATGAATAAATAAAATGGGGTATATCCATGATGGAATGTTATTTAGCCATAAAGAAGAAATGTAATACAGGTGCTACAACATGAACATGAATACCCGAGCTAAGTGAAAGAAGCCAGACACAAAAGGACAAATAATGCAGGATTTCACTTACATGAGGCATTTTGAATAGTCATATGCTTAGAGACAGAAAGTGGAATGGTGGTTTCCAAGGGCTGGGGTGGAGAGAATGGAAAGTTATTGTTTAATGGGGACAGTTTCTGATTCGGATAAAAAATGTCTGGATATGGATGGTATGATCTGATGTACTTAATTCCCATTTCCCTGTACACTTAAAAATTGTTAAAACAGTACATTTATGTTATGTATATTTTAGTACAATTTTTAAAAGCCAAAAGAAGAATCATACCTCCCTCAGAAGATCGTCTTAGCAAGCCAAACAGAATCACCTTCCTTGAGGGAGAATCTGCAGGTTTAGTGGCTGAGTTTTGTACCTTTTTTAGAAAGTGTCATCTTTTATTTTCTTGCATGCAAACATTGACCATGTGATTGGTTTTGGATTGTGCACTTGATGATGTAGAGTGGAATTGAATGTGGAGAAATGCCAAAGTCTTTGCTAGATATATTCCAGTAAGTAGAGCCAGTGACCCCGAGCCAGCCCTCTGGCTCATTTTTCTGCCTTTTCATTCTCCATCCTGCCCCCAAGATGATGCAAATTTAATCAAGGTTGTACCTGACTCAGAAGACTTCAGGGGCTCCCCATCAACCGTAAAAGAGGATGACAGCGCTGAATGTGGCTCACAAGGGCCTCTCAAGTTGATCCTTATCCTTCCAGGAGAATCTCCCATCCCTTCTTTTCTTGCTTTTGTAAACTCCAATGAGGCCACAGTGATGTGAGTCTATTCTTTGGAGTGTGGTGTTCTCTTTGCCCAGAAACACCATTCCTCATCTCATTTGCCTGATGAGCTCAGCTATCTCCCCTCAATGAATTCTTTTCCAGTGTCCCTGTACTTGGTACACTCACGCTGATGGACTTGTACCCCCATTATGTAATAAAATATGTGATGCTTCATTTTATGTGTCAACTTGGCTGGGACAGATATTTGGTCAAACATTATTCTGGGTGTTTCTGAGAGAGCATTTTTGAATGAAATTAACATTCAAATCAGCAGAATTTGCATAATACACATTGCCCTCTCTAATGTGGATGGACCTCATCTAAGCAGCTGAAGGCCTAAATTGAAAAAAAGACCAGATTCTCTGGAGGAAGAGAGAATTCTCCAGCAGAGAGCTGTGGGACTTCCTCTGCAACATCAGCTCTTCCTGGTTCTATAGGGTTTTACAGCCCAAAGATAGCCTGTGTAGTAGGCTATACCATCTAGGTTTGTGTAAGTACATTTATATGATGTTTGCACAACAAGGTTCTTAGGAAATTGCTTAAGAACTCATTTCCCAGAATGTATCCCCATCCTTGAGCAATGTAGGCTGTATTTCCATACTGTAAATACTCCCCTTGTGGGGGATTTCAATCTACAAATGTGACATCACTGAATGTGGAGTTAGAAAGAAAGGTACAGTTCATGGCTCACAGTTCCTACAGCCCTTCTAATTTCCTAAATGAGTACAGCAAAGTATCTTTTGTTAAAATATTTGGCATTTTTTTCCTGGTTACTGAAAAAGCTCCAGAACAGCTCCAGAGCCATAAAGGTGAAAGATAGTAGTTCAGCCACACGAGTTTATGTTAATGTGGTGATTTTTGGAAACTCGCAGGATAATCCCAATATTTGGGGGGAGTGGTGGCTAGTTGCCAGAGGAACCAGCCATGTGCTCAGAGGATTGGAACTCACAGCTCCACCCTCTGCTTCCAGGAAAAGAGAGAGGCTGAAAATTGAGTTGCCAGTGGCCAGTGATTTAATCAATTACATCTACATAATGAAACGTCCATAAAAACCGAAAAGGGCTGAGTTCAAGTGGCTTCCAAGAAGGTAGACAAAAACACATCCTCATGTTGGGAGGGCGGTCCACCCCAACTCCACGGGTAACGGTAGCTCCTGCCCTAAGGGCTTCTCTCGGACCTTGCCCTAGAAGTGTCTTCATCTGGTTGTTTATTTAGATCCTTTAAAATATCTTTTGTAATAAACCAGTAAACATAAGTATTTCCCCGAGTTCTGTGAGCTGGTCTAGCAAATTAATTGAACCCAAGGAGCGGGTTGTGGGAGCCCCAATTTATAGCACATCTGTCAGAAACACAGGTAAAACAATCTGGAGTTTGAAATTGGCATAAGAAGTGGGGTACCATCTGGTGGGACTGAGCTGTCTAACCTGTAGGATCTGATGCTATCTCCAGGTAACTTCAGAATTGAATTGGAGTAGAGGCCCCTCCTGGTATCTGCTGCAGAAAGGCTTATTTGAGATGTTAAGACATTATAAGAGACGACAGAAAAAAAATGTATACGATACAAACTTCTCTGTGTTATATTTCTCCATAGCCCTTTTTACTGTTCATCAGACTCTCTAACTTACACATTCGTGGCTTGCTTTTCTCCACTTCAAAGTAAATTCTGCAATAAGAGGGCAGGGATTTTTTTTTTCCATCTGCTGTATCCCCTTGAATTGCTTTTCCTTGTTTGTCCCACCTTCCAATACTAATGCTACAGTTTTCTTAGTTCCCTAAAACAGGGACCATTTCCATTTTATTAAGTTGCAGAACGCGGTTTAATCCTAGCAGACTGGTTCCAAAAACGTCGTGTTATTCACTATCTCTGAGCACTAACAATGACATTCTCATTTTGCAGCTGAGAGAGGTATTAATTTGTCAGAGTCACAACACGGGCGGGGTTCCGAGTCGCTGTTCTTACTCCAAAAAGCTTAACACAGAAAGATAATCACACTCCCACGGACAGGCACAGAAGGCCGTACTCCGAATGACATCGCGGTCACAGGGGCACAGACAGCATCACAAAGCCGCACACGTGCTCACACCTGGGGCTCAGCCGCCGCGCGCTTCCTTCCGAGGTCTTAGGAACCGGTAACTAGGGACGCTTCTGGTCTCCAGGCGAGGAGAGGGGAGAGTGCAATCTTTGCGCCTGCGTACACTCCCGCTCTTACCCGCGGGAAACCGTAGGCCAAGTCCCGCTCGCATAATCACGCACTGCGCAGAAACGCCCGCTCTGTCTCTAGGGTCCCTCCCACTCACAGCCGCCCGACGACAGGCCCCTCAACGCTAGGCCACGCCTCGTCTCCGCCCCTCGCGCCTGGCCCCTGGAGAAAGGTCGGCGCCTGCGCAATGGGGGTTCCGGCGTCGACTCACGAAGTCCTTCGGATGAGAGCTTCTGGGTGCCAGACGAGGCCAGGGGTTTGTTTTGGGTGGTTTGGGAGTCCGAGCTCAAGGACAGGGCCTGGAGGGGCAGGCAGGGCGGGCGTCTCAGACCCGGGTCGCGAAGGCCCCGCAGTGTCCTCTGTCCCCTTGACGACTACATTTCCCAGAGGCCCGCGCGGCGCGCGTACTCGAGTCTGCGGGGCGGAGGCCACGGCTCGGGGCTGGTGGGCGCTCGGGGCGGCTCGGGGCGGGTCGGGGCGGCGGGACCACTGGAGTGAGCTGTGGGAGAGATGGGGGTGTGCCTGTGTGTGAAAGACCGGTCAGCATGTGAGGCTCCGTGAGCGGGTGCGGTCTGTGTGTGTGTCAGACCGGGAGTCCAGAGTGTGAGACCAGGGTGCGTTCGTGTGTGACAGCGAGACGGGTCAGTGTGAGAGACCAGTGAGTGTGACAGGGGAGTGTGCCTGCGTGTGAAAGACGAGTGTGTGAGGCTCTGAGAGGATACGGTGTGTGTGGGTGTGTAACACTGTCCAGAGCACGAGACCAGGATGTATTCGTGTAAGAGAGTGACTCGGGCTAGAGTGTGAGAGACCAGTGAATGTAGGAGAGATGGGCGTGTGGCTGTGTGTGAAAGACCGGTTGATTGGTGTGTGAGGCTCCATGAGAGGCCGGTGTGTGTGTGTGAGAGAGAGAGAAGGAGACTGTGCGAGGCCGAAGTGTGGGACTCTAGTAGTTGACATGTGAAAGGGAGACTGGTGAGTGTGAGAAATGGGTGTTTTGGGTGAAAGACCTGTCAGTGTGTGAGGCAGTGGTTTGTATGTGTGCCTGACAGACTGTGAGAGACCAGAGTGTGAGACCAGGTGTGTTCGTGTGTGTGTGTGTGATAGACCAGAGCGTGAGACCAGTGAGTGTGAGAGAGATGAGCATGTGCTTGTGTGTGAAAGACCTGTCATTATGTGAGGCTCCTTGAGAGGCTGGTGTGTGTGTGAGAGAAAAAAAGACTAAACTGTGAGAGTCCAAAGAGTGAGACGGGTTTGTTGCGGTGAGTTTGTTAGAGAGAGGGAGGCGATCAAAGTATGAGTCAAAGTTATGTTTTTTGGCATACAACTTCTAATATCCTTGGAATCTCCAAAGTATTAAGTATCTTTTTGTATGCTAATGATTGGTAGGCTGGCAGCTTGTAGGTAGATCATGGTAAGGGCTGGTGAACAGAACGACCTAGGCAAGATTAGAGGGTTGGGATTATCAGCCCCATCCTCAATCTCCAGGGAGAGGAAAGGGAGCCACAGGTTAAACTGATCATCAGTGGTCAGTGATTTAACCAGTCATGCCTAAGGAATGAAGTGTCCATAAAAACCTAAGAGGACTGGGTTCAGCACACTTCCAGATAGCTTAACAATGGAGGCTCCTGTAAGATGAGCCTTACCCTACATAACCTTGTCCTATGCATTTCTTCACTTCCTTTGTAATATCCTTTATCATTACAAACATGTTTCCCTAAGTTCTGTTAGCTGCCCTAGCAAACTAACTGAATGCAAGGACGGGGGCATAGGAACCCTGATTTATAGCCAGTCAGTCTGAAGCACAGGTAAAACAACCTGGGGCTCGCAATTGGCATTGGAAGTGGGGAGCAATTTTCTAGGACTGAGCCCTCAACCTCTGGTATCTTATGCTATCTACAGGTAGATAGTGTCAGAATTGAGTTACCCAAGAGGTCACCCAACTGGTATTCACTGAAGAATTTATTGCTTGCCTGGTGTGTGTGTTTGAAGGCCCCCACACATCTGGTCTTATAACTTTTGTGTTGTGAGAGTAGAGTAGGAGAAACAGTTTGTTTTTCCTCTTTGTCACCTGAGCGTGTTATCAGGGACTGGATTGTGAGAATCCAGAGTGTGAGACCAGGGTATATCAATGTGTGAGAGAAATAGATGTGCCTGTGTAAAAGATTAACAAGTATGGGACTCCCTGTAGTCTGGGAAAGATCATGTGTGTGTCTGAGTAAAAGCAAGAAACTAGACTGAGAGTTCAGTGATTGTGAGAGACTGAGGTATGTTGGTGTGAGTGTGTGAGAGATCAGTAGGTATGTGAGAAACTGGAGTATATCTCTGTGTCTGGCCTGGGAGGTTGTGGGAGAATGTATCACAGTATGAAAAAGATTGGAGTGAGAGTGACCGTTACGTATTTTGTGTGCTTTGATAAAGCAGTTGGAATGTGAGAGGCCAGAGTGTGTTTGTGTATCTGTGTGACATACTGGAGTATGTGAGTAATTGAGGCCTCTGAAAGGTACCATTGGATGTGTATGTATGAGAGACCATCATGTTTGTATGTGTGAAAGAGGGAAAGACTAGTGATGTGGTTGTGTCAGAGACTAAAATGGGTGAGAAAGAAACTATGTGAACCATGGTGTGTTACTCAAAAGGCTTTACAAATATAAACTTCTGAGGTTGTGGACCTTGCATGTGTGAGTGAGACAGAGATAAGGGACAGTGAGCTATGTGTGTGAGAGAAATAAGATTGGAGCTATGTGTGAAGGTGTTGGTGAATCACCATGTGTGCTTATATTCATGTTCTCAGACAATGGAAATGTGACTCTGTATATGTGCTTGTTTTGGGATACTTGTGATTGTGTCCTCTGTGTGACCAGGAAACCTGTGTTAGTGTTTGTATGTCACCCTGTATACCTATAATTGTGGCCCTGTATAATTGCTGTGTATGGAGAGACTACTTGGAAGATTGATAGGATTGGATTCTTTATGAGTGTGGCTGTTTGGAATTGTGTGTTGCTGGGATAGGAATGGTGGAATAGAATTCCTGTCCCCAATCCAAGAGCTTCAGTAAGAAACAAAAGCTAGGCCGGGCGCGGTGGCTCAAGCCTGTAATCCCAGCACTTTGGGAGGCCGAGGCGGGTGGATCACCAGGTCAAGAGATCGAGACCATCCTGGTCAACATGGTGAAACCCCGTCTCTACTAAAACTACAAAAAATTAGCTGGGCATGGTGGCGCGTGCCTGTAATCCCAGCTACTCAGGAGGCTGAGGCAGGAGAATTGCCTGAACCCAGGAGGCGGAGGTTGCGGTGAGCCGAGATCGGGCCATTGCACTCCAGCCTGGGTAACATGAGTGAAACTCCGTCTCAAAAAAAAAAAAAAAAAAAAAAAGGAAACAAAAGCTGGGGTTACTGAAGGTCCTAACTGAAGCAAGAGACATCCTCAATTATGTGTGACAGGAGTGTAATAAAGGGGCTGGGACAGAGGTGAGAGTGTAAGTGGCAGAACTGAGTGCTAAAGGTTCCATTGTTTCAGGGTGAGGAAAGTGAAACATTGCAGGGGGAGGACATTGGGGGGTTGAGTGAAGATGGAGGATAACTCTGGCCTCTGAAGGCATTTGGGAGTCATATTTTCTTTTTCTTTTTTTTTCCCCCAAAAACCCATCCATCTGGCTCAAAAAGGAGTTAGATTTTCGAACAGTAGACTTTCAAAGCATGAAGCAGAGACCCAAGAAGAGAACGACTTCACCTTTACCTGTGAATTAGAGGCAATAACTATTTTGTAGGATTATTTCAAAATAAAGTGAGAGAATATAATCCATGCAGAGTACTTAATACATCTATTTTTATTCATAATGAGATCAAAGAATGGGAAGGTAGCTCTTGGAAAAAGATTAAATTTAGGACCTCAAGCATGAAAAAAAAAAAGTTATATAAGTTATAGCTCTTCAGTGGCCATAGGTTGCTCATACCCAGTTATGTGAAAATGGACCAGCCAAGGCTGGGAAGAAGAAGACAGTTTTAGGCTAGTGATTCTGGAAATGCTGCAACCTTTCATCTCTCACTAACCTTTCCCTTCCTTCAGCCTTGCCCTCCCAAGACACTCTTCTTCAAGAGAGAGACCAGAAGAGAAGGCAAAAATGAATGTTGAAGTATTAAAAGTCATATCCCAGGTTAGTTGAAATTTTCTTTCTCTTCATGAAAGGCAGTCTTTCTGTTTAGGACTTATATGTAATGGAAAATTCCCTGATTAAAAGTCCAAGAGCCTAGTTCCCACTTCTCTCAGGGGCCACTGTCTTTAATTACCTAATTATCAAGTAATAGCTGTGTATAAAAAGTCATGGAGGCCCTTCTGAGGTTCCTCTTCCCACCTTGTGTACATTTTAAATTTAGTGTTGACCCTTGTGAAAAGACTTGATTTATGTTGTATGGAATATATATATGGACATCTTAGTACTAGTGAGTTGGATTCCAGGTTAAACGTGTATCCAGTACCTCTTCTATACATAGAATACCTCAGGAATTATTCCTCTAGCTGACTTTTTGTCCAAATCTCTGATTATGTCTTTAAGATAAATTCTTTAAAAATTTTTCTTTACATTTTAAGTATGAATTTCCAAATTCATTTGTTCACTTGAAGAATCTTGTTCTACTTAATTTTTGCAGATTTTATAAATTTAAATAGGTGATATGTTCACATGGTACAAAATTCAAAAACAAATTTCACTCTTACCTCCCAGTTCTTTTAAGAAGTTATTCTCAACTTCTATTTCTTTTAGAGCCATGTTATGCCTTTGTATATAAATACTTTCTTCCCTTTAATGTTAATGGTATTTTGTGTCCTGTTTGTGAAATTTTTGTCTATCTTTAAGTCCTCTTTTTCTTATAAGATTTGTTTTGTCCTTCACAGTTAAGTTTCTGGTAAGCTTAGATTGATTTTTGTGGTTTTTCTATCATGATAGGGCTGAAATTACATTAAATTTTTATGTTAAATTTAATTTACATTAGATTTTTACATTAAATTTTTACGTTAAATGTATAATTTATAAAAAGTAAGGCAGAGATTTATTTTTCAAGTTGGCACAATGTCATTAATTGAATTATTCATCTCATTCTCACTAATTTGAAATGCCCCCTATATCGTGCACTAAATTCCTGTGAATATTTGCTTCTGTTGCTGTACTACACTCAGTTTTACTTGAATTTCTGCTTTTAATCTTTTAATTTTTAAATACCATCATACTGCACATGTATAAGGAACCATGTATCCAGAAAGAACCCTTAATTCTCCCGTTGTGAAATTCCCTTTACATTTTTTCTAAGTGGAAAATATGTTTTCATGACATACATGAGTGTCAGATGTCCATAATTAATGCTTAATTAATTTAGTTATATGTTTCATATTGAAAATTATGTTAAATTAATTTTGAAACACTGCTTTTCTTTCTTCCACCGTCAGAGTTCATCAGATATTTTACAGTATTTACATGGATTCTGGGCACCTGTGTCTTTCTCAGCATTAAAACCATTTTGTGAATTATCTAACAAAATTTTCCAAATATACAGACCTTTCCGAGTTTGTGTGCCTGATGTTGTCATTAAAATTCTATCTGAAGTCACAAGCACCAGTTAACACAACAGGATTTTTTCCCCTACCCCCCGACAGTATGCCCTATAGAAGGAAGTTGGGATCTCCACAATACCACTTACTGTCTTTAGTTTTGATATTTAACCTCATACTCCTGAATAATGTTCTGCATACTATTTCTTGATTATTTTAGTTTTAGAAATTATCTAGTAACCTACTACCACTATAGTTGATAAATATGCAGTACATTAACCCCACCACTTGAAATACACACATACATACTTTTTTGATAGACTTTGAACATTCTCATTATTTTTGTTTTAAGTCAGTGTTCAGGATAGCTTAGTGTCTTTCATTAATTTGGAAATTTTTCAACGACTATCTTTTCAAATATTCTGAAACTTTCCTTTTTCTAAGATTAAAATTATATAAATGTTATTTTTCACAGTTTTACATGTCACTTATGCTTTAATTCTCTAATGCTCTAATCTCCTGTTAAGATCATAATGGAATTCTTTTTTTTTTTTTTTTTTTTGAGACGGAGTTTCGCTCTTGTTGTTACCCAGGCTGGAGTGCAATGGCCCGATCTCGGCTCACCGCAACCTCCGCCTCCTGGGTTCAGGCAATTCTTCTTCCTCAACCTTCTGAGTAGCTGGGATTACAGGCACGTGCCACCATGCCCAGCTAATGTTTTGTATTTTTAGTAGAGACGGGGTTTCACCATGTTGACCAGGATGGTCTCGATCTCTTGACCTGGTGATCCACCCGCCTCGGCCTCCCAGAGTGCTGGGATTACAGGCTTGAGCCACCGCGCCCGGCCTGTAATGGAATTCTTAACTTCTGTTATTGAATACATAGTTCTAGAACTATGTAATTATTTTATGTAATTTTCTGTTTTCTTCCTGAATTCACTCTTCCATTTTAGCTCCTTAAAAATATTTTCATAATATTTTGATATCCTTGTTGGATAATTCCATTATCTGGATCTCTTGTGTGTTTCTGTTTTCTGGCTTTTTGAAAATTCTCTTGATTTTTGTCTTAAATGTCTCATTTTGGGTTTAGTGCTAGACTTTATATTTAAAAAAAATAATAATTTGAAGCTCTGAGGTCTTCCTCTTGAGAAGGTTTACTTAAAATTTTTATTTTTTAGAATAGTTTTAGGTTTGTAGAAAAATTGTAGAGATAGTATAGAGAAATCTTATATCACACCAAGCTTTCCCTATTAACATCTTATATTAGTGTGGTACATTTGTTAAAATTAATGAACCAATATTGATACATTATTAGCGACTAAAGTCCATGCTTAGTTTAGATTTTCTTTCCTTTTCTTAACTTTTTAATTTTTTTTTTTTTTTTTTTGAGACGGAGTTTTACTCTGTCGCCCAGGCTGGAGTGCAGTAGCAGGATTATGGCTCACTATAACCTGCTCTCCCAATTCAAGTGATTCTCATGCCTCAGCCACCTGAGTAGCTGGGATTATAGGCATGTACCACTGCATACAGCCCATTTGGGTTTTGCCATGTTGTCCTTGCCATGCTGTGTAGGCTAGTCTCAAGCTTCTGGCCTAAAGTGATTCACTGGCCTCAAGTGATCCACTGGCCTCGGCCTCCCAAAGTGCTGGGATTATAAGTGTGAGCCACTGCACCTGGCCAGGTTTTCTTAGGTTTTAGCTAATGCCCTTTTTCTGTTCCAGGATCATATCACGGAAACTACATTACATTTAGTAGTCATATTTCCTAAGACTCCTCTTAGCTGTGATAACCTTGTCGGCATTGAGGAATACTCAGATATTTTGTAGAATGTCTCAAATCTGGTGTTTTTTCATGATTAGACTAGGGTAATGTGTTTTGGGGAGGAAGACTGCAGAGAGGTAAAGTTCTTTTTTCATCACATCAAATCGGGAATGCACTCTGTTTATTACTGTTGATGTTAATCAGTTTTAATTAACTTTGAGGTAGTGTTTGTCAGATTTCTCTATAATAAGGTTACTCTTTTTTCCCTCACTTTTCCATACTATACTGTTTGCAAGGGAAAATGTAAATCATTTAGAAATCTTCTGAATATTTGCCTATTTACCTCATTTATTTATTTAAGTCATTTATTTGGTCTTAGTTAATTTAGTCTTAATTCTCCTGGAAATTTTATAAATTTTCTGATACCTTGTAATAAATGCTTTTTTTCTTAAAAAGAAAATAGAATTACAAGATTACAAGCTCTTCAGATGTTATCCATTGAGATTTACTTCATTCATCATAGCATTATCAGTTAAAAAATTACTAGATATACATGTATGCATATATATAAAGTTATTCTATAGATATTGGTAAGTCTAGTAGTATATATACCAAATTATTAACCATGAGTACCAGAATCAAAAGCAATCAATTTTTTTTTCCTGTGGGAACAGCCAAGGCTCCTATTTCCTTAATAATCACCAAAATTATCCTAAATATTGGAAAGATTGTGAGCACCTTTTGCTTGCATTGAGGAATTCATCTCATTTAATTTTATAAGAATATGTAAAATGATGGTTCTTAGTTCTCAACTCACTAAGTGAAAACTAGAATTTAGGAAAACCATGAGTTCACAGAGAAGCTTAAACAATTGTGTAATTCTTTTATATGTAATAATAGTAAACATTTTTCTAAAGGTGCGTATATCTTCTAAAGTCGCATGCATTGAATATCTGTTTAAAATTTGCTTTTAAACGCTAATCTTTAGAACAAAGACAGGATACAGAGACTCCTGTTTAAAAGCAAATTAAAATATTGTGCTCATAACCTTGTCTTTATTTAGTTATATTTTTGATAACTTTACAAATCAGGCACTGAGATTAAGAAGATATTCATTTTCAATGGAAATAAATCTGAAGTTGAAAAATGCCCACGATAACTTTTAAAATTTCTTACAACCTACTGGTTATTATAATTGGTCATTAATTTTAATCTAAGAACATTTAAAAGTTATAACTTCAATTTCATTTTGTTCTGCAACTGTGAGTACAACCAACCATGGGTGGAAAACACAGTATTCACTGATACATACATAAGAAAAGTACATTCTAAATGTGTTTTTATTGTTTTGTGGGGAAAAAAATCAGCTACATCAGTTTAATACCTTTCCCCTATCCCTGCCAATAAAACGTGGATTTCACGGAGTATCATTTGAAAAATATCAATTTAGATATTCTTCTTAAGCTTTTTTTTTTTTTTTTTTTTTTTGAGACGGAGCCTTGCTCTGTCGCCCAGGCTGGAGTGCAATGCCATGATCTCTGCTCACTGCAACTTCTGCCTCCTGGGTTCAAGCAATTCTTCTGCCTGAGCCTCCTGAGTAGTTGGGATTATAGGCATGCGCCACCATGCCCAGATAATTTTTTGTATTTTTAGTAAAGATGGGGTTTTACCATGTTGGCTAGGCTGGTCTGGAACTCCTGACCTCATGATCTGCCCACCTTGGCTTCCCAAAGTACTAAGATTACAGGTGTGAGCCACCACGCCCAGCCCTTTTTATGCTCTTAAAGATTCAATACAGGTATGTGTTCTTCCCTGAAGCCCTATTCACTGCCAAGTAGTTATGCACCCATATTTCCCTATGTTCAGAATGGATTAGCACCATTGTACCCAATGCAGTTAAATACTTCAATAAGTACTATTTTCGATTGGATCTTCATATTTGTGTTTTGTCTCTTCTATGAATTATTTATCACATAAAGTAGAGTTGGATCAACTCAGAGCTATTGTTGGACATGAGCATTAGTTGATTAAGAATATATTTGTTACTTCAGGACTTGGTGACATTCAAGGATGTGGCGATAGATTTTTCCCAGGAAGAGTGGCAATGGATGAACCCTGCTCAGAAGCGATTATACAGGAGTATGATGTTGGAGAACTATCAGAGCCTGGTATCACTTGGTGAGGATCTTTTCCCTCCTTCATAGTCTACCTTTAAGGAACTTTTATGTTTTTATGTATTATTAAATTTGCTTTTATTATATGTAGGTCAGAATGGAATATAGGAATGGAATCTGAGAAACAGAGGATATTGAAGGGATTGAAGAAAACTGGAGAATTAGAGTTAGTGAATTTTGTGACTATCAGATATTCCATGCATACACCCTTAAGGCAATTGGAAACATAGGACACATTATGAATCTCACCAGTCTCCTGGGTTTCCTTGGTGTCTCTCTCCTGAAGAATTATTATCATCACTAGATAATAACAGGGTTCACAAAGAATATAGCTAGATTACTACAAGTTCAGAATATCACTTTTAAAATCTGTGTCTTTGTATTAACTTGTGAAAAGTAAACCAGGAAGACACAAACTGTGAAAATGGCTTCAGATCATTAGGGAAATTTATATGGACCTGTCTTCTAAGCACTGGGGCTACCTCATTGGCTAGATTAGCTTTTTGTTCTCTAGAAGCCCTTTTCTTTTAATTATGCTTGTGGTTTATTGAGCTTCTTGAAACTAAATTTATATCTTAAGCCAAATTGTTAGCCATTATTTCTTCAAAGTTTTTCTGTTCTTTTCTGTTTTGGGACTTCAGTTATACACATGCTAGATTGTTTGATATTGTGCCCTAGGTAACTGAGGATTGTTTCACTTTTTAAAATCTTTGTTCTCTTTTTCTCAGATGGGATAATTTCTCCCCCCCCTTTTTTTTTTTTTTTTTTTTTTTTGAGAAAGAGTCTCATTCTGTCACACAGGCTGGAGTGCAGTGACATAATCTTGACTTACCACCTCCCAGGCCCAAGCAATTCTCTTGCCTTAGCCTCCCAGGTAGCTGTGATTACAGGTGCTCACCACCATATCCAGCTAATTTTTGTATTTTTAGTAGAGATGGGGTTTCACAATGTTGCCCAGGTTGGTCTCAAACTCCTGACCTCAGGTGATCCACCCACCTCAGCCTCCCAGAGTACTGGGATTACAGGTGTGAGCCACCATGCCCAGCTCAGTTTCGATAATGCTGTTGATTTATAGTCAAATTCCTTGATTCTATCTTTATCTTCAGTGTTTAGTTAGGTACCTCTAGTGAATTTTTAAGTTTCAGATCTTATATTTTTTAAATTATAGAATATTTATTTGGTTCTTCTTATAGTTTTTCTTCTGAGATTTCCTGTGTGTACATTTATTAGAAGTATATTTGCCTTCATATTATTATTTATATAATAACATCTGTTTTAAAATCATGTGCCAATTCCAACGTCTTTGTTATTGCAGTGTGAGTGTCCCATTGCTTGCTTTTTCTAATGGGCATGATTCACTTTTTCCTTTTCTTATGTCAAGTAATTTTGAGTTTTATTATGGATGCTATAAATAAAACATTGCAGAGCCTCTGGATTCTGTCATATTCCCCTGAAGACTATTGATTTTTTTTTTAAAGCAGGCAAGTTACTCAGAACTTCAAACTCTGTTTTCTAGGGACCTTTTAAAATACTTCATTTACTACTGGGTGATAATATTCAGAAAATGTCGGGCTAAATTTCTGCCCTCAAGCCCCTAATAAAATAGTTCATAGAGTTAACTGTTAGCGATATCATTAGGCTATTCCAGAATTTTGTGTAGTCTGTCCTTCAAATGTGCTTTATCTCTTCTCTAGTATTCCTGCTGTATCATTCTAGCAGAATTACGGTACTGGTTTCTAGTTCTGAAATAACCCAAAACATGGCTAATTTTCATATCTTTTTTTATATGCAGGTCTTTGTGTTTCTAAGCCGTATGTAATCTCCTTATTGGAACAAGGGAGAGAGCCTTGGGAGATGACAAGTGAGATGACAAGAAGCCCATTCTCAGGTGAGTGTGGAAGAACCAGAGAGGGGAATCTTTTTGACATAATAGCTCAGCCATTTTTAGAGGTGATACCTTCTCACTTATGCATCTCAGAAACTCTTCATAAGCCTTACAGGCCTGGGAAGAAAACTGAAACTTTAATGCTTAACGTGGGCCCCGCAAATATCTTATCTTCTACTTGTCTGTCTTCTTTCCAATAACTAAGATTCTCTAGAGATTAGAGAATCTTAAATCTCTAAGATTTTTATTTTGCAAAAGTCTTTATTCAGCTCCTTACCATCCTCTCTTTCGCTTTGCCATGCAAACTTACATAACCTTCTGTATTTCTTCAATCTTTCTTAATTCTTGAATTAGGGGCTGCTTACAAATTATAATGTACCCTGCTACTATTTCATTCCTTTCCTGTAGCAGATAGGAAAGATCTAAATCCTGTTAACCTCTTCCTGATCAGCGCCTTCTTTCATAACCTCATTCTTTATTCCTTTTTAGCTTTTTCATCATACTTTAGTCCAGAGTTTGCTAAATTATGTGAATTACCCAGAGTATGCTTCAAGTGAGTTGCAGGTATACCAAGCTACTAAGTTTCTCAAGAGCCTTGGGAAACTAGATGGGTCCAGAGGTAACTCCAAATCTGCCTGCATCTGGGTCACAGGCAGTATCATTTTTTTGCCTGCTCCACCTGTGTTTTACAAACGTCAATTTGAATGAGTGTTCATCTAGCCCATGAGTCAACTTTTCTGGACTCACCAAGCTTTTTACTAGCACAGGCATTTGCATTACCTGTTTCCTCTACCCAGAATATTTCTCTCTTGAGTCTGTCTATCCTGAATATCAAGTCAGAGCTAAAAAATCATCTCAACAGAGGCCTTCCCTAACCACCTTATGTAATGAACATTCCCCCATCCCAACCCAATAACTTTTCACCAAAGCACTGTTTCTTTTCTTCCTAACATTCAGAAAAGCCTAAAATTAACTAGTTTATTGTTTGATGCTTATATTCTGACTCTCTCACTGAAATGGAAGTTTCAAAAGACATTTTGGATAAGATATTTTATGCCTATATAAAATTCTTGTTTTCCTTCTGTAACAGTGTTTGGGCTTTACATTTTGGATAATTTGGATTCTCAGCTTTTTGTGTCCTCCAAATACAGGAGTCCACCTAGTCAAGCCTTTGCCTTCTGCAATTTGTTACCCACAGTACACTACTGTCCAAAAATGTTAAATGGAAAATTCTAGAAATATACAATTTATATGTTTTAAATTGTGCACCATTCTTAGTTTCATGGTGAAGTCTTGCACCTTTCTGTTCTGTCCTGCCCAGTTCATGAGTCATTCCTTTAGGTAGTACATCCATGCTGTATGCCGTGCCTGCCTGTTAGCCTCTTAATCTCATCTAGCTTTCCAGATCTGTTGCTTGTAGTGAATATAGGGTTCAGTATTATGCCAGGTTTCTGGCATCCACTGGGGCCTTGAACTATATCCACTGTGGGTAACAAGGAATGACTATATCCACACATCAGAAGAGAAATAAACCCTGCTTGGATGCACTGTATACTTCATTGTTATATGAAGATGGCATCTTCCTTAAATAGAGAAACAGAAAGGAACTTTCCTGATATTTGGCCCTGTAGAGAATAAGTGGAAGAGGGAAGAAGGAACAAGTTATAAGTCTGGTAGGATACTGAGTCAATGGGTAGATATAAGTATTATTGTATGTAAAGATATCTCAGTGTCTGTTAAAAAAAAAAAGGCCAGAAAATTAGGAACAACCATGGCCCTCTGTAGGAAATTGGAGTTGAAGATAATCTTCATGTGACAAAAAAGTAAAATGTGAGAAAGTGGTAGGTGGTGGACTCAGCTTTCTGTGTCTTTGCTAGTATTGTTCTCTTCAGTCTGTCTGTGTAGGAAAAATTATAGGTGATTAGTTCATTAATGCTACATTACCTCAATTATTGAAGCATGGGTGCCCTGGTCTCAATGTTTGTGTGCCCATGAAATTCATGTTGAAATCATCTTCTCTAGAGTGATGATGGTAGGTGGGGACCTTGGGAGGTGATAAGGTCATGAGGGCTCATGAATGGGATTATTATCTTTATAAAAGGCCTGAAGGAGCTTCCTTGCCCCTTCCACTTTGTGAGAAAACAGCAAGAAGGCACCATCTGAGAAAGCCAGCCCCTGCCACATCTGTCTGGGCCTTGGTCTTAGACTTCCCAGTCTATGTATCTGTGAGAAATAAATTAGCCATGCCCGACTAATTTTTCTATAAGTATATTAGTCTATTTAGTTATAAGTGTGTTGTTTATAAGTGTATTAGTCTGTTCTCATGCTGCTAATAAAAACATACTTGAGACTGGGTACTTTATAAAGGAAAGAGGTTTAATTGACTTACACTTCCACATGGCTAGGGAGGCCTCACAGTCATGGCAGAAAGTGAAGGTGGAGCAAAGTCACATCTTACTCAAGCTCCCAAAGTGCTGGGATTATAGGCATGAGCCACCTTTCCCTCTGGTTTTCTTGCAGTATCACCTCTTCAATACAAATTTCTTTACATTTTACTGATGACTTTTTATATATGCCCAGAGTTCTCCTATCTATGGTAAATGATGTAGCAATAATTTTTTTTTGAGATGGAGTTTTATTCTTGTCACCCAGGCTGGAGTGCAATGGTGCAGTCTTGGCTCACTGCAACCTCTGCCTGCTGGGTTCAAGCGATTCTCCTGCTTTAGCCTCCCAGGTAGCTGGAATTACAAGCAGGTGCAACCAGGCTCAGCTAATTTTGTATTTTCAGTAGAGACAGGGTTTCACCACATTAGCCAGGTTGGTCTTGAACTCCTGACCTCAGGTGATCCACTTACCTTGGCCTCCCAAAGTGCTGGGATTACAGGCGTGAGCCACTGCACCCGGCTGATGTAGCCATAATTTTAAAACCACATTTATTCCTTCTCTAAACCTATATTCTAGGTCAGGAAATAAGAAAGTTATTACTTATGTGGTAGTAAATAAGAATGAGACTAAAAGTAGTGATGTCAACCTATATATTACTATGAAATTCATTTCTTCAAAAGGGGAAATGGTAAAACCCTGTTAAGAAGTGGCTTAAGACACTGGGTGCAGTGGCTCACACCTGTAATCTTAGCTACTCAAGAGAAAGTGGGAAGATTGCTTAAGCCCAGGAGTTAGTGAACTATGATTGTCCCACTGCATTCTAGCCTGGACAACTGAATGAAACTCTTTTTTAAAAAAATAAAATATAAAAAGATGGTCTAAGAAGTGATAATTATATAGGCTGTTGAAAGTAAGATGAACAGAAAAATCTCTTAATATGCAGGTTAAAGTTCAGGAAATCTGAGAATTGAAGAGTTCACTGTATTGAAACATGTAGATGGTTTCATGGGAACACCATTTTCTGATTATGAAAAGATAACTGTAGGATTTCACCTAAATCCTAAGATAATCACAAACCTTAGGGTTTGTGGTTACTGGAGATCTCTAGAAACCTTTGAGCAGCAGTAGTGATACAATATTGGTATTTCAACAAAAGTAACATAATTGTGTATGAAAACCAATTACAAGTGGAAGAGAGTAGATGAAGAAAGCTTAATTTATACTCTGTTAGGTTAATACAGGCATGAAATATTACCATTGCAGACTGTTTCTCTAGGATTTCATCCTACGTTGAGTTTTAGTTTAGTTTTGTTTTTTTGAGACAAGGTCTTGCTCTGTTGCCCAGGCTGGAGTGTAGTAGGGCTATGATGGCTCACTGCACTCTCAACCTCCTAGGCTCAAGTGATCCTTTGACCTCAGCTGCCTGAGTAGCTGGGACTATAGGCATGCACCACCGTGCTTGACTAATTTTTGTATTTTTTGCAGTGATAGGGTTTTGCCATGTTGCCCAGGCTGGTCTTGAACTCCTGGGATCAAGCAATCCATTCCCCTTGGCCTCCCAAAATGCTGGATTATAGGCATGAACCCCTACACCTGGCCCATTTAGTTTTCTTAATCACCTTTTCCATGTTCTGTATTTCTTAGAGTCTCCCTGCTTATTTTCCAGTTGACATGTCTGTACGTCACAGGTTTTGTGAGATGTATTAAATATTTTAAAATTACCTTTTTCACAATGTCTCCTTTGTTGTAGCCCATGATAAAGGGAACATTCACTTTTTAATATACATCTTTCAGATTGGGAATCTATATATGAGACACAGGAATTGCCTCTGAAGCAGTTCATTTATGATGTTGTGGCCCATGATAAAGGGAACATTCACTTTTTAATATACATCTTTCAGATTGGGAATCTATATATGAGACACAGGAATTACCTCTGAAGCAGTTCATTTATGATGATGCATGCATGGAGGGAATTACAAGCTATGGACTTGAGTGTTCCACTTTTGAAGAAAATTGGAAGTGGGAAGACCTTTTTGACAAGCAGATGGGAAGTCAAGAGATGTTTAGCCAGCAAGAAACAATCACTCATAAAGAAACCCTCACTAAGGAAACAGAATTTAAATATACTAAATTTGGGAAATGTATCCATCTGGAAAACATAGAAGAGAATATTTATAATCGTACATCAGATAAAAAATGCTTCTCCAAAAATTCTATGGTAATAAAACATAAGAAAGTCTGTGCAGGAAAGAAGCTTTTTAAATGTAATCAATGTGACAAAACCTTCACCCATAGCTCATCCCTTACTGTTCATTATAGAATTCATACTGGTGAAAAACCATATGAATGTGAGGAATGTGGGAAAGCCTTCAAGCAGAGGCAACACCTTGCTCAACATTACAGAACACATACTGGAGAGAAACTCTTTGAATGTAAAGAATGTAGGAAAGCCTTCAAACAGAGCGAACACCTTATCCAACATCAAAGAATTCATACTGGAGAAAAACCATATAAATGTAAGGAATGTAGAAAAGCTTTCAGACAACCTGCACACCTTGCTCAGCATCAGAGAATTCATACTGGAGAGAAACCCTATGAATGTAAAGAATGCGGCAAAGCCTTTAGTGATGGCTCATCTTTTGCTCGACATCAGAGATGTCACACTGGCAAAAGACCCTATGAATGTATTGAGTGTGGGAAGGCTTTTAGGTATAACACATCTTTTATTCGTCACTGGAGGAGTTGTCATACTGGAGAGAAGCCTTTTAATTGCATTGATTGTGGGAAAGCCTTCAGTGTTCACATAGGACTTATTCTACATAGGAGAATTCATACAGGAGAGAAACCTTACAAATGTGATGTGTGTGGAAAAACCTTCAGCTCTGGTTCATCCCGTACTGTACATCAGAGAATTCATACAGGAGAGAAACCTTATGAATGTGATACTTGTGGGAAAGACTTTAGTCATCATGCATCACTCACTCAGCATCAAAGAGTACATTCTGGAGAGAAACCTTATGAATGCAAGGAATGTGGGAAAGCCTTTAGGCAGAATGTACACCTTGTTAGTCATTTGAGAATTCATACTGGTGAAAAACCCTATGAATGTAAAGAATGTGGAAAAGCTTTTAGAATCAGTTCACAGCTGGCCACTCATCAGCGAATTCATACTGGAGAGAAGCCTTATGAATGTATTGAATGTGGAAATGCTTTCAAACAGAGATCACACCTTGCCCAACATCAGAAGACTCATACAGGAGAGAAACCTTATGAATGTAATGAATGCGGGAAAGCCTTCAGCCAAACTTCCAATCTTACTCAACATCAAAGAATTCATACAGGAGAGAAACCCTATAAATGTACTGAATGTGGAAAGGCTTTTAGTGATAGCTCATCCTGTGCTCAACATCAAAGACTTCACACTGGCCAAAGGCCCTATCAGTGTTTTGAATGTGGGAAGGCATTCAGAAGAAAGTTATCCTTAATGTATCATCAAAGAGGTCATCCTGGAAAAGAACCTTAAAAATGTAGTGCATGTGGCCAAACCTTTAGTTATCATCAGTCCCTTACTGTTCATCAGAGAAATCCCACTGGTTAAAAAACATATAAATGTAAGAAATAAAGAAAAACCCTCAGCCAGACTGAACACTTTACATGGAAGAATTCATACTACAGAGAGGTCTTAAAAATGTTAAGAATGTGCAAACGTCTTCAGACAAAATGCACACCTTGCTCATCATTGTGTTCATTTCAGGCATCCAGCTGTTCCTCACCCGCTACGTCACTGGATCCTGCCAACATACCTGCTAAATATTTTTGGAATTCATCCACTCTTTTGGTTCCCTAGTCTGAAACAGTCATTTCATCTGGACTGTTTCAATCATCATACAACCTTTTGTCTTCCCTGGGCCACACTGGAAGAAGAAAAATTGTCTTGTGCCACACATACAATACACTAACATTAACAATAGTTAACAAGCTAAGAAAAAAAAAAAGTCTGTATGTAATTTTAGTGATACACCAACACAGATAAGCAAAGAAGTCATTGAATACAAGAGGTTGGACACCCATGAATTCTAAAACTTCTGTATCCTCTTTTATCCCTTTTGTATTAATATTATAGCCACAGTGATCTTTCAAAAATGCAAATTAAATTATTCGCTTAAAACTCATTAAAATATTTGATGCATAATAAAGTTCTTAGCAAAATTACCAACTCATACTAAGTGCTTGGTAAATGTTAGGTAAGTATTCTTCAGAGTTGATGTAAATTATTTTTAAACAGTGTACTCTTGAAAGCAGTATGGCAATTGTAAAAATTTTGGAACCAAAACAGTATCTTTTTTTTTAAACTAAAAAAAAGTTTTTAGATAGGGTCTTCCTGTATTTCCCAGGCTGGTCTCAAACTCTTGTGCTCAAGCGATCCTCGCACCTCATTCCCAAGTAGCTGGGATTACAGGCAACCAGCCTGACTTAAAAAACAGTATCTTAAGGTAGACAGTGATTAGCACATGTAGTATGCTTAACATTTAATATTATAATAAAACATCACAGTGACACTCTCATGATTAAGGCTGTGTTCCATTGTTGGTGAGGAAACTAATTATGACCTAATACATAGAACATGTTTTAATAAGTGGCTGTATAGCTCTGGATAAAATGAACAAAAGAATTAGAATTTCTGGGGAGGATATATGCAAGACTATTAAGTCAAAAAAAGTCACTAATGTTTAAATGAAGAAAGAGAAATTAATATAGTCCCATTTCAACATGTGGGTTCACAGATTTATTCTAGCATTCTGAGGATCCATCAGTAAGGTTGTTCTGGAGTTTATTAAAACACACACACACACACACACACACACACACATGCACACACACTTAAAATCTCCCACTTCTTTGATGAGGTTAAGTCAACTGTGATATCAAACCAAGGGGAATAAATGAAATTATAGGTGAATTTACTTAGTTTTATACAAAAGGAAATTGTTAGCCTCTGCTGATGGAGAACAGAGGCTCTGAATAAATGGAGATCCATAACATGATCCTAGATGGATGTTTCAGTATTGTAATCCTGTAGGTTACTTTTACACTGACAATTCTGAAATTCATGTTGAGTGTTATATTAGGCAGGTATCACAAGGAAGGTTGTATCCCATGAGTTTTTTATATTGCAAAAGTGTTTTCGATGTATCATTGGGGGAGATTAAGTGTCTTTGACAGTTATCCAACTGGAGATAAAGTCAGCATCACATTTCGCTCCTTACAGAGAAGTTTATTCTGTACTGATTACAGACATGAGAGGAAATATTGTTAAGATGGTAGAGGAGAATGTAGAGTATTTCTGTGCCTTTAGGTCCAGGAAGTCTTTGGTAAGCAGGACACGGTCCAGAAGCCATGAAGAATGACAGGACTGTGTAGAAGATTTAAACCTTTTTCATGATATAAGACACTGTATGCAAAGTTAAAAGCCATATGACAGGCTGAGAGATATCCTAAACATACATTTAAAAGGATATATCCCTTGCAAAAGGGCTGTGGGAAAGCAGCAAGGATAAGGTACACAGTCTTGCGTAGCATGTCAACAAAAAATCCTTGGATGAAGAAATTAAAATAGTTAAATAGAGGAAGTTCTCAACCTCACTAATAATCAGATAAATGCAGATTGTAAAAGTCCTCATCGCCACCAACACAAACCACCAGAAATTCTGTGTGAATGTAAAGTTTGGATAATATCCAGTACTGTTGCAGATGTGAGAAACCATATTTTCATATATTGAGGGTAAATTAGAGGAAAGCCATTTTAGAGGGCAATGTGGTGTTACCTGTCAGCATTTTGAATATAAGTACCCTTTGCTACGATTCTACACCTAGTAATTTATGTTCTCGAAAGCACAAGTGCAGAAATATAGATGCATAAGCACATGTGTTATAGAATTGAGAGAAATTTGGAAAAACAAAATATTTAGAACTAGTAAAGTTATGGGTTACAGAAAATCAATTCAGTAGATCAGTATGTAGTTACGGAAAATGAGATGGATCTCTATGTACTCAAAGATGTCCTGCAGCTTATGAATTGAAATATAATTTTATAATCAACACAGTGATATCATTATTAAGTACATAAATTTTATAAAGCTTAATAATGTGTTTATAGTATCAGTTATTTGTTGTTTTTATTTACAATACAAATAGAAACCATGGACACACAAATACAGGAACTCCTTCCCTGTTGTTTTGTTTTTCTTATGGGAGGTGGGGTGAGCTGCTGTCATGTTATTCCATGAACTTTTTTGTTGTTGCTAGTTGTACATAGTTTACTCAAATTAAATTAGATATTCCTTGAGACTATGGGGGAAGTTGAATATCAGTTATCTTTTGGTCAAGACTTAAAGATGGTGTATGAGTTTCTGCTGCTCTGCTCCCTAGACCTGACCTAATTCATGCTCCTGCCAGATTGTAAACACGTTTTGTTCTGCTGAGCTGGCAGAGTAGCTCCAAAAGAACTGTAACTAAGGTATGCACATACTGAAGACAGGGATATAACCAATATTTCTGGGAGAGCTCTAAGGAAGGTAGATTTATATAACAGTTATTCTGAGGAATTATGGGTGGTGATTCTTGCTCAAGCCAGCTCATGCATCTAGGCTAGAAGTTGCTTAGATACCTTTATCATTGCCTGAGGATGTTTTAAGGCCTCTGTTTGGATTTAAGCCTGCTGGGAAAAACCTGGACTAAAAACAGCTGAAAAGCTTTTCCTGAACCTGTGATATGAGAACAGCATTTTACTTCTAGGGGGTGCTTTATTTGTCATCCATAGGATGCTGGGCACATTTCAAAAAAGGACTGTTTTAGGAAAGTGGTTTCTTATAGGAAATGGAGGAGCTCGTGGAAGCTGCAGCTCACCAGAAGCAAAGTCTTCAATTCAGTGGTGTTCTTGGGCAGGCTTGTACTGGCTTGTAAGAGCTGAATACATTTTCAGGAATTTTGTTAACTAGTTGAGAAATGTGGTGTGTGTGTTAATATATTCACATATGTACTACATACATCTTTGTAAAATTTATAATAAATTCATGGAAATCATGCACTCATCTTTCCCTTGCAGAGCTGGATGTTAAGCCTTTGCCAGCATACCACTGATAGTTTATCGGGAAGAGATGACTGGCTGTGATTACTAGTAAGTCTCTGGAAATGAAATCAGTAGTCAACTGCTGAATTTTCCTTTGTTACTTATTTTAAAGTACCTAAAGTCTGGTCAGGGAGACCTTAGGCCAGTTATCCCCATGCTAGAAGTTGCCTTTCACCCTGTTCCCAAGACCTGGATGTGTGGACAGTCACCTGGGTACTCCTGAGGAAAAACTTTCGTCTAACAGCAGTGTTTCTTTTCCTTCTAGGATCCCAAAAAAAACTGTAACCAAGATAAGTGTGTTCTTAGGGAAACCACTAATATTTCTGGAAGAACTTTAGAAAATGTAGACTTCTGTCCCAGTCATTCTGGAGAATTATGGGGTGATACTTGCCCAAGTTCCCTTATACACTAGGCTGTGCAGGATCATGTGCCAGTCATTTGCCTGTTTGCTGTAAGATCCATTCATTGCCTTTGCCCTGCTGTATGCCAAGTCACAGGTATTTAACCTCTGCAGATTACACTTTCCAGAGTCTACTGCCCACCAGTTTCCTGTAAGGGTCACTCAACAGGAGGCAGTAGCAGAGATTGGAGGGTGAGGGTTGGGGAGAAACCAGTGTATTTCTCTTCTACTCTTTACTTTGGATGGTGCTGCTGGCAATGACTACACCTTCTCTGTTCCACCTCTCTCTTCACACCCCTGTCTATAGTCCCTGTTACTGCTAGGAAAGTTCCTGTACATCAGTCCAGCTTCTTCAGGTGGCCCTGGTTCCTACGCTGTGGTCAAATCACCTTCCCCTTTCACCCGCAAGCTCTATGGTTGGGAACTATTTGCCCCTGTTAATAACCTGGGATGCCTCCCTGCTCTCTGTCACCCTTCCCAACACCTTAGTTAGTACTTTGCAGTGTTAAAGTCCCTCTATTAAACCATGTTGCATAGGTGTTTCCTGACTAAAGCCTAGCAGACAACAAACACAAACTACAGATGCTTTTGGAATTAATGCTGGGGTTATATCCTGATGAACCCATGGTAAACTGAAATGCATTTAATACCCTGATAATCTAATTGTGAAGTTGAACCATCTTTGGGGACCCTTTGTAGTTATTTCTACTTGCCTTGGTAACACATACTCATGCTAGGCTGAAACAAATCACAAGACCACACCGGGCACTGCCACCCTAGTGAAGTTCCTGTGTGCCCAGTGATTGGAGGCATATGAAGAAGAACCTATGACTCCTTGTACTCCCCGAGACTAAGAAGTAAATAGGACACTTCTTAAGTACAACATAAGCTAAATAGAATCTTGTTACAATCCATACATCACTGGACCAGAAGAAAACCTCCAGGTTATGGGGACCTTCAGGAGGTTAATGGCGAAGGGAGTGACAGCTGTGTGTGGTGGTGGGCACTGGCATCCTCGGAGTGTGTAGTTGCCTCTACCCAGATGGATCTTTTCCACCTAATAATGGGACATGCTAGGTCCATACAGCTTTCTAGCTACGTGGACTGTAGCAGCTAGCTCAGATTCTGTGCTCTGGTACTGAATCTCCAATATAAGCTACTCTCAAATCAAGACCCTTTTTGCAAAGGAAAAAGCATGACCCTTGGATGAAACTTGTGATCCTGCAGATCCTACTCTATGAGCTGGACTTGGTCAAGAATTCCCCCATAATTCTCCAGAATGACTGTGACAGAAGTCTATATCCCCAAGAGTTCCTTCAGCAATATTAGTTATTTCCCTTCCTTCAGAATGCACTTATCCTGGTTGCAGTCCTTTTGGGAATTTTAGGAAGAAAAGCAACAGTGATGTTACAGGAAGGTTATTCCTGAAGGGTACCCAGGTGACTGTCTACTTCTCTGTTGGGTTTTCCACAGATTCCATAAAATATCCCAATCTGCTCTAAGTCCTTCAAACTAAACTGGAGCTTTGTAGCCCTAAGGACTCAATGGTAGAGTCTTGTGTATCACAGCCTAAACTGAAAGGTGTTCTCTTCCTTCTGCACCCAAGCACACCTGGAAGTTTATCTGGAGGAAGACTCCTTGTTTTTATAGATGCTGTAGCATGCCCATACCAGCTAAAATAGGACCTCTGAGCACAGCCACCTCAGTCAGAGGGACCCACGGACCCACTCTGAATGTGGCATACCCTCTTCTTTCTTAGTTAGTGCAATTCTTGCTTAAAGAGTTCATGACAAAAGAAGAAAAAAGCCTTGGTGTTAAGGATAGAGGCAACAGTGTGGGCTGTTACTCACTGAAGCTGACTTGGCTGACTGAGGTTCAAGCAATCCTTCTAAATGTTCTTTTTTTCTTTTTTCAGTAAAATGTATCATGTTTTGAGGCAGTTGGATTCCATTGGACCTTTTTGTTTGAAAACAGGGATGGGTAAGAAGGTGGGGAAGTATGGCATTCTGGGTTATTCTTATTCTGGATTATTATAATCCCACTTATTCTGGATTATTTCCTTTTAATATTCTTTGCATCTCTTCCATTCTGTTCAAGGACTGAATGAATGCTTTTTGCACTATCATTATACACATTGTACCCCAAATCAAATGACACATTTTAGAGCAAAGCAAGGCAAGGAGTTGATTCTTCTGAGGGTCATTCTCATATATATATATATATATATATATATATATATATATGTGTGTGTGTGTGTGTGTGTGTGTGTGTGTGTGTGTGTGTGTGTGTATGTGTGTATATATATGTATATATGTATGTGTGTGTGTGTGTGTGTATATATATATATATATATTCCATTTCCTTTCAACAGTATGTGTTGAAGTTAGAAAGGATACATGTCATGAGGCAGGGTGGTATATAATCTGAACATGAACAAGGAATATAAATAATCAGTACATGATGCTGTTTGTCCAATTATCAGAACGCCGGTATCCAAGGAAATAAGTAATAGAGGAAACCAAACGTCTTTTTGCCATAACAGTTCTTGAGCAGTTATATCACTTTCTGAGCAATTCCCTTTATTTTAGTACATCAACAATTTCACCCCAAAACACCCCAAGTACATTATAAAGATTGGTATTTCAACATTAGTGTTTCTGACCTAATGCACTCACCAGTTTAACACTTTAAACTTTTTCTTGTCTTTATGGGTTTCAGTGGTATGGAGGTTTTAGCACCAAATGGAGGAATCTTCTGTTAGGGAATATAGTAATGACCACAATGAATCAGAAGCTTATTGCCATCTGGCCATTTTGATCTTCTCCTGACAATAAGAAAGCAGGTTAAAAAAACAAAACACTGTGATTGTTGGTTTTATAAAGAGGTGGGGAAAGGTTTCCCTACAAGAATTGCCAGGAAAACTATGGTTGGGCGCTTCCTTGTACTAACTGCCATGTCTAGTTATAAAGTCTTATGTTCAACATTTTTGGTTTCACCTTCCAAAATTCTGGTTTGTCTTGTCCAAAGGCTTTAGGGCCAGGAGGAGGAAGTCTTCTATTCCAGAACCTAACAATGGATTCAGTGCATTGTAGATCAAATGACATCTGTCTGTTTAACATCTCACATGTCACTGCATGAGTAGTTGGAATTAAAAAGCCAAGGTAGTTGATCCAGACAGGCAATGATAAAGAGTTGATGCTCAATAAGGGAGATTGGGAGGGATGTGGTTGTGTCACTTCCTAGAAATATGCCCATTGGTAATGGAAGACACCTGCAATATCACATAGGCCATTGATGATTTGGGCCAGATTATTCCTCAACTCAGGCAAAGAACCTTAACTCACTGAGGTGTTGGCAAAACTTAGGAGAAACGTGGATTATAAAGTAGAAGAGATTATATATACAACTATAATCCTAGTTATATATACCAGTTCCAGAAAAAATAAGAGCTGGCTGTGTTCTCTACTTGTGTTTTTCTTTTTATTGTTTCATAATTAAACCTCTTCCCTACCCACCTCCCTTTTGTTCACAGAAGGTCTTTTAATTAAAGTGATTTTAAACTCAGTTCATATTATCTCAGCGAGTGCTTACACATTTTGTTGTTGTTGTTGTTGTTTTAATACTTGCTATGAATTAGAGGAATACACATTTTTCTTTTAAAGAGATAGTGTATCGCTCTGTCACCCAGGCTGGAGTGCAATGGCACAGTCATGGCTCACTGAAGCCTTTAACTCTTGGGCTCAAGCAATCCTCCTGCCTCAGCCTCCCAATTAGCCACTATGCCGGGCTAATTTTTGTTTTTTAATTGTAGAGATGGGATCTCATTACATTGCTCAGGCTGGTCTCAAAACCCTGGCCTCAAGCAATCCTCCTACCTTGGCCTCTCAGTGTTGGGATTACAGGCATCAGCCACCATGCCCGGCCCACATTTATTTTTAAGGAGGAAATATTTACATACAGATGTTGAGTATAAACTTGATGAGTTTTTTTATGGTTTGCACTATAAAATGTACTCATTTTAGGTATAAAATTCTCACTTTCACAAACTCATAGTCATGTAGCCACCATAATCCAGGTACACAACACCAAAAATGCCCCTCTTAGTCACTCTCCTCCTACCCCAATCCCTAGGCTACCACTGATCTATTTTCTGTCTTATATGGCATTATAAAATGTCACATATGTATATAATCATACAGGGTATAGCCTTTTAAGTGTAGTTTTTTCACTTAGCATAAAATGTGAGATTTAGCCATGTTGTATATATCAGTGGGTTGTTCTGTTTTATTGTTGAATTCCATTCTATTAAGAACCCACAGTTGATTTATCCATTTACCAAATATTAGACATTTGGGTTGCTTCCAGGTTTGGGTGATTATGAATAAAGTCATTGAAAGCATTCAAGAACAAGTTTTTAGTGGATATCCATTTTCACTGGTCTTTGGTAAATATTTAGAAGCAGGACTAGTGGATAATATGGTAAGTCTACATCAATTTTATAAGAACCTAAAAAACTGTTTCTCAAGATGCCTGTAGTATTTTTCATTCCAATCAACAACAGATGAGAATTCTCTTTGTTTGGCATCCTCACCAACAGTTAATATTGGCAGGTTTGTTGGGATTTTTCCCCAATCTCATAGGTTTCTGTTTCTTTGTGGTTTTAATTTGTATTTTCTGAAAGGCAGATTATAAGCCATATGTATATCTGCCGTGGTAAAGTCTAAAATTTTGCCGATTTTTTAAAGTTTGTGTACTTTTTGTTGAGTTTTAAGAGTTCTTCATATATTCTGAATACAATTCCAGTTTCAGATATGTGATTTGCAAATATTCAGTCTCTGAATTGTCTTTAACAGTGTCTTTTTGCACAGTATAAGTTTTCAATTTTGATGAAGTCAAATTTATCAAAATTATTTTATGAAATGTGTCACATGTCTTGAAATTGGGTAATGCCAGTACTCTAAGTGTTCTTTTTCACAATTGTTTAGATATTCAATTTCATAATAAATATTTGAATCGTTTTATCAGTACTTACACAAAAGTTGTTGACATTTATTTTAAGTTTATTTATTTGTTTGAGACAGGGTCGCACGCTGTCGCCCAGGCTTTAGTGCATTGGTGCCATCTTGGCTCACTGTATGCTCTGCCTTCTGGGTTCAAGCAGTTCTTGTGCCTCAGCCTCTGAGTAGCTGGGATTGCAGGCACCTGCCACCACGCCCGTCTAACTTTTGCATTTTTAGTAGAAACAGGGTTTTGCCATGTTGGCCAGCTAATCTCAGACTCATGGCCTCTGTGATCCACCTGCCTCAGACTCACAAAGTGCTGGGATGACAGGCATGAGCCACTGCAAATTTTAAGTAACAAAACTGATAGGGATTATCTATTGCTTTGGTATTCATGGAAAAGCCTCAGAACTTATTTAATGATTTTCCATTTCTTCTTGAGTCAGTTTTGGTACTTACAATTTTCACTAGAGTAAGCCCCTGCATATGTTTTAAATATGTTGAGATAAGGTGATCATTGTATTTGTAAAAATCTAAAAATTTCTGTAATTATGTTCACTTCTTCATTTCTAATATCATTTCTTTGTTTGTTTCTCTTTTTAGCATAACTTTCTTTAGTCATCTTTAACTTAACCTTTATCCTCATGATGTCAAGGTGGCTGTTCTACCTGTTGACATTCTGTGTTATACCCAAGCAAGAAGAAGGTTGTGTGAGATGACAACAAGCCAGAGTTACGTGCCAGCTGTGTCTCTCTCCACCCACCCACCAAACCTCAAAAAAATCTGTATTTAAATGTCACTGGTTACAGACACAGGACTCCTTACAAGCAGACTGGGGAGGTGAGCATTATAAGCTGGGCAGATGGCCACCTGAAGAGCATCAGTATTTTGCTGTGGAAGGAGTGGAAAATAGACACTGGAGAGACTACTAGCAGTGTCTGCCACAGCTATTACATGGCTATGTCCACTTGACTCTGAAACTAAGCCTTTTCTATGAGACTGAAGTGCTTTGAAGAGAAATGCTGACCTTGTCTTTTCCGTAGCTTGTGGCTTCAGTCACTCTTGGAATCAGATACAAGTCATTTTAATTCCATCACTGAGGCCAGGAGACCTGACGGAAATCAATTCAAGAGTATGACCAGGGGTCCAGTGTGACTGGGCATGTAGGGGTCAGTGCATCTGTGATGATGGGTGTAACAGCATCACTGCCTGTGAGCCAATGAGGCCCTCGGCTCCCAGGACGAAGCTCTCCAGGTCTGATAAGGCCCCTGGGGGAGAGACCGGTCCTAAACATGTACCAGAATAAATCCATCAGCTAACTTCAGATGATTCACACAAGAAGGCAACTTTAAGAGGTCGCCAGGGCTGGTATTTTTGACTGAGATGTTACGTAGCCCTCTCTGAGGTGATTACAAGTATGGCATAAAGGAGCCAGCCCGGACGAAAATTTGGGGTTAGACTATTCAGACGCAGGACGTGCAAATACATAGGTTACAAAATGGAAAACAGTATTCTGGACGATGGGAGACCTGTGAAGCCAGAGAGAATGAGAGAAGGTGAGGGAGAACCCAAAGCAATCCCACAGCTCTCTACATCTCACTTCCAAGCCCACACACATCCCCCATCAAGAGTCATCCTCCGGACTCCGGAGGTCCCCAAGATTGCCTCTCCCTTCCCGGTCGGCGGTGATGCTCCCGCAAGGAGCGGACGTCGAGGACCTCGGCATCTGTCGCAGCCAAGCACACTTTTTCCCCCGGCCCTGCGGTCCCTCCCCTCGCCACAAACCCCGTGCCAGCCGGACCGCCGCTGCGCGTGCACGACTCCCCCAAGGCTTTGGGGCGCGGGTCTGTTGCCTCTGCTTCCGGCCACACCCAGGCCCGGCGTCTGCGGTCCTAAGAACAGTGGGAGCGACCGGCGGAGGGCAGGACCGACGGGGGTCGCGTAGGACCAGGGCCAAACGGTGTCTCACAGCCTGAGCTCCACGGGTGGACGCATCTGTCCTTGCTCAGGACTACGCTTCCCAGCGGGCGTTGCGCGGATGCCCCGCCTACTTCCGGCGGCGCTGGCTGCGCGCTAGGAGTGGGACGGGCCGGGCAGCGCTCCGCGGCGGGGAGGGGCGGGCAGCGGGGAAGGGCGGAGCGCGGCACGGACCGGGGCGGAGCGGCTCCGCGGCGCGGCCCCGTGGATGCCGGGGCTTGGGAGAGTGCGCGCAGGGCAGTGCGTTGGGCGTGGCGGGCGGGTGTGGCCAGGGGTGTGGGTCTGTGAGACGGACCGGCCGGGAGGGCGTCGCGTGGCCTCGGGTGACATGCGGGGTGCAGCGAGCTCGGGTGTCCGCAAGCCGACGCCGCTCCCGGGCAGAGGCGCCCACCGCACAAAGCCCCGGGCGGGCCGAGGCCCGACTACAGGGACTCCGGCTGCCTTGGCCCTCCCTGCCAGGGGAAGGCCGCGCTCCAGGAATGACCTCGCATCGAAAGGCCGGCGAGGAGCGGCCACCACGGGGCCTGGGCACAGAGGTGAGAGTGACAGGTGTTTGGGGCCGGGCGGACAGGGTCGAATTCATCTCGGGGTGCGATCTGGTAGGGGGTTGGGCCCTCGGGGACTAGATGCCGGAGAACTGTGTCCCTGGTCTTTGAAGCCGGTGGAGCCGGGGTATCTGAAGATTTGGAAGCCCAAATGAGTCAGAGCACCAAGCCACGGTAGAAGGAATGTTGACTTGCCAGGGTCACTCTAACTAGACACTTTTCCTGTTTTCGTGCTCGCAAGGAGAAGATAACCCCTATCTCCACGTTGTGGCAGTCCCTAGGCAGGGTAATGACCTGATCCCACCTGCTTATGCAGGAAGGGTCGTTTCTAGGCTGGTGATTTAGGGCTGTGGTGTAGACCTGGTCTCTAGCTACTCCTTTCTCTTCCAGCTCTGCCTTCCAGGGACACTGCTCTTCCCCAGGAGAGAAACCAGAAGCTGGAGACTGCGGGGACAGGAATTGAACCTAAAGCCATGTCCCAGGTGAGCTGGCATTTCATCTCTCATCTCTGAAATTCGATCTTGCTTCTCGGGAGTTAATGCTGTTGATTTTCTTGAAAGTTTTCAGTTTAAGAGACGTGTTTGGGCGCTGGTTTCTGTTTCTTCGTATTCTTGTGAGTGATGGGCTACAGGGAAAAGATTAAACTGCCCAAGGCCTCCATACCTGCTTCTTCTTCATCCCAGTCAGCCTTCATTCTTGATTGATGAAATGATTCAGCCTTTCCCTTGTACCGCTTTTCTCAGAGGGACTCTGATGGAGAAAATGTATTCCTTGAGGAACACGGGAGACCCTTCTGCTGTACATGGCTTGTTCCGTGACCACTTTGTGCCAGCCACGGGACAAACCAATGGCTAAACCCCATTCCCTGCTCTCGGAGCTGACAGCTGTTGACCCAAAGTCAAGGAAACAAGCAAGATTCTAGAATGTGGTAATCCTTGGGCCAAGTACTATGAGTGACGACTACAAGGAGCTCCTGGCTTCCAGCGTGCTGTAGCGGAAGTGTAGGCTATTTACCAAGGAGGTGATTTTTGAGCCTTGCCTTGAAGGGAGAGAAGATGTTTCAAAGGCACAATAGAGAAAGACAACATTTTAGGGAGAGGAGGTGCAATATGAAAGGCTTTCTTTTTCCCACTTAATTTTGTATCTTTAAAAAATGCTAATAAATAGTTTGTTTCTGTTGGCTGTGTCTCATAAATATCATAGCTAGCTCATTAATAGATGAACCATTTCACTTCCACTGGGTCTCAAAAAATATTTGTACATATGAACCAGTTTCCAGTTGTGCTGCCCAAACTGCTCTTACGTGGGTTACTGTGATCTTCCTGTTACCAGATGCAGTGCTCAATTTTTAGTCTTTTTTGACCATCGTTGTTATTTGATTTTTAAATTTTTTTTTTATTTTTCCTTTTTTCAATGATTGTGCCATGACATCATTGGTATTTGAAATAGCTCGGGTTAGCAAACTTGTGCTGTATGAGGCTACAGTAGAAAATATGTCAGGCTTTGAAAATCTCTGCTGCAGCTACTCCTTTCTGTTCTTACAGAGCTAACGCAACCACAGTCAATATGTAAGTGAGTGGATGGGCTGTGTTCCAGTAAAACTTTATTTACAAAAACAGGTGGCTGCCAATCCCTGAAATAGCTCATCCCTCTCCTTCAATAGGCCTCCCTTTTCCCCTTGGCTACTGGGATCCCACCCTCATCTGACTTTCCTCCCATCTTCCTGACTTCTCAGTTTTTGCTACAGTTCTTACTCATTTCCCTGACCTTGCACAGAGTGCGCCTCAGCATTCTGTTCTTGGTCCTTTCTGTTTTGTCTGCATGCTGTCTCCTGGGGATATTAGCCTTTTTCTTGTCTGTAAAACCTGCTCACATGGTGGCTCCTCCCAAATTCGCATTGTGAGCCAAAACCTCTCCTCTGAGCTCCGGGCCTGTGTATCCTGCTCAACTCCTCTGCCTGGGTGTCTAATAGGTAACCCAAGCCAGCCTGTAATAGGTAATAGTTAATGAAGTCCAGAGATTCTCCCATAAACTGGCACCTCTCACAGTTTGAGTCTTAGTGGCCATTTCATCCTCTCAGTCCAAAAGCCTTGTCATTGTTGTCTCATGTCCTTCTCTCTCCTTCCATATTTGGCCTGGTTGTAAATCCTGTCAATTCTGTTTGCACATTATATGCAGAATCTGGCAATTTTCATCACATCTATCACCACCAGCAGGTCCAAGTCCTCCTATCTCTTACTATTGGCTTCTTGACTGTGGTTCTGTGACTTCCTGTCTGCTCTCAGTCCCCACAGCCCCTTCCCAGTGCAGCAGCCCGAGGGGTCTATTCAGATGCGTCACCTTGTATTACGCTCTGCTCAGGAGCCTCCAATGGCTTCTCTGAATAAAAGCCAAAGTTTTTCCTGTGACTGACCAGGCCCTACATGACCTGGCTCCTTGTTACCCCTGACATCTATTACATCACTCTCTTTTCTTTCTGAAAAATTGCCTCCTCATTTTCCTGCTCACCCTGTCTAGAATTTCAAAGCCTCCTACTCTAGCTCTTTATATCCCTCTTCCCTGCTTTACTTTTTCCTTTTAGTACTTTTTTTTTTTTCTGAGATGGAGCTTTGCTCTGTCATTCAGGCTAGAGTGCAGTGGCGTCAGCTCAACTCACTGCAGCATCCACCTCCTGAGTTCAAGTGATTCTCCTTCCTCAGCCTCCCTAGCAGCTGAGATTATAGGTACCTACCACCACACCTGTCTAATTTTTGTATTTTCTCTTTTTGTAGAAACAGGGTTTCACCATGTTGGCCAGGCTGGTCTCAAACTCCTGACCTCAAGTGATCCACTCCCTCAGCCTCCTAAAGTGCTGGGATTACATACATGAGCCACTGAACCCAGCCATTGTAGTACTTTTCAACATGCTATATACAGAAACCCCACATATACCAAAATTTGCACATACTCATGTGGAACCTACAGATATGAAAAGTTAGCCTTCAGTGTACACATACTACAAATAATCTTTTTTTTTTGGGAGACAGGATCTCACTCTGTTCCCCAGGCTGGAATGCAGTGGTGCAATCATGGCTCACTGCAGCCTTGACCTCCCCAGCCTCAAGCAATCCTCCTGTCTCAGGCTCCCAAGTAGCTGGAATTATAGACATGTAGCACCACATCCAGCTAATTTTTGTTTTGTTTTGTTTTCTAGAAATGGGGTTTTGCCATGTTGCCCAGGCTGGTCTTGAACTCCTGGCCTCAGGCAACAACCTGCCTTGGCCTCCCAAAGTGCTGGGATTAGGTGTGAGCCTCTGCACCTGGATAATAATTGTATTTTCAATCTGCATTTGGTTGAAAAAAATATATCATGTAGGTGGACCTTTGCAGCTCAGAACCATGTTGTTCGAAGGTCAAATGTATTTTACGTAATTTATCTCGTTTTCTCTTGTCTCATTCCCTTACTTCATAGGCAAAGATTTAGAGCAGTTTTGTCCCAGTGTCTGATACAGAAAATATTTGGAGGGTGAATGTTTGAATATGGTCTTTAAGTTCTCTTGTGGCCAGTGTTTTGATATTTGGTAAGTGTTAGATTAATCATTTTTATATCTGAAAATGTGCTTCATCCCTGATTTTGTTTTGTTGTTGTTGTTGTTTTAGAGACAGGGTCTCACTCTGTCACTCAGGCTGGAGTACAGTGGCACAGTCATAGCTAATTGCAGCCTTGAACTCCGGGCCTCAAGCAATCCTCCCACCTTGGCCTCCCAAGGAGCTGGGATTGTAGGTGTGACCTACCAAGCCCCTGATTATTTTGTATGAATACATTCCTAGAAGATTTTCTTTCATCATGGATTAAGGTTTCCTAAGCTTATGTGAAATCAAAATACTTCTAAAATTGTTTTTGGATAGAATAGCAATGGTACCTCAAAAGCATTCATGGTTTGAAAAAATATAAACTTCATCAAGAAAAATAGTTATTACCAAATAAATGTTTATTCATATGTTTTAAACATTACCTGAATAGTGTTGGAACAAACAAATCTTTTTAGTGTATTTTTTTCTATAAAGTATTTTCTTTTCATTCATTTCTATGAAATTTCAACAGAAAGATTTTTCTGTAAGTATAAAATTCCTTTAATTTTTTTGATTTGTATGCTTTTAATGTCTCCGTGTGTATGTGTGTGTGTGTATCTGTGTGTCTTTATACACACACACACACACACACACACACACAATTTTTTAAAAAGAGATGGGGACTCACTGTTTTGCCCAGACTAGAGTATATTGGCAATTTGCAGGCACAGTTAGAATGTACTACAACCTCAAACTCCTGGGCGCAAGGAATTCTCCTGCCTCAGCCTTGTGAGTAGCTGGGCCTATAGGCATATGCCACCGTGCCCAATTCATACGTATATTAAGATGAGTTAAATCACATCAAACGGCTATATCAAGAGTAGATTCTGTACCTGTATAATGTTTTCTCTGTGGTATACTGTAAAAATGTGAAATCCGTTTTGAAGTCTGCATATTTATGTTGTAGCAACAGGAATAAGAACAGGACCTGCACATTTGAGAATGTTTTGTTTCCACCTGAATTAAGCAGGTTGATCCACACATCAGGTAGAGAAAGTTGGTTTTATTTTTATCTGAAAATGTGTTTTGTACTGGAACGTGTTTTACTGGCAGGGTGAATGGATACTAAGTATTACTGCTATTATCAGAGTGGAACCTTTTAATAGAAGTAGAGTGGCAAAGTGATCAAAGATCATGCACTGGGTTCACGTGCTAGCTCTAGCATCTAATCACTGCGTAACCTTTAAGCAACTTAAGTGACCTCCCTCAAGCAGTTCTTGCAAGGATTAAGTTAATATGTGTATAGTGCCTAGAACAAGGTATGTGGCACATAGTAAGGACTTAATAGTGTTAGCTGGCAGCATCCTCATGTCATCATGATGGTTTTAGAAATTTACAGGCAAGACACTTAGAATTGTATAGTTTTTTTTAAAAGTGTGTAATATAGGACAGATCTTGGCAAATTATGGCATATGGGCCAAATCCAGCCCACCACCTCTTTTTGTTTGGCCCAGAAGCTACAAATGAGTTTTACATTTTTCAGTGGTTGAAAAATGAAAAGAAGAACAATACATGAATATTAAATGAAACTCACATTTTGGTATCCATAAAAAAAATTTCACTGTAGCACAACATACTTGTTTGTTTATGTATTATCTGTGACTGCTTTTGCACTACTATGACAAAATTGAACAGTTGTGGCTGAGGCCATATGGCCCACAAAGCCTAAAATATTTACTTTCTGACTCTTTACAGAAAAACTTTGCTGACGCCTGAAGTAGAGGTTAAGAGCATGGACTGTAGAGTCAGATTCCTGGGTTCAAAACCTAGCTCTACAGTTGACTGACTATGATCCTGGGCAAATTACAGCTCAGTATTTCCTCATCTGTAAATGAGAATAGTAATATTATTGACTATTAGGCTCATTGTGAGGATTAAATATGTAAGTATATAGAATTGTGTCTGAGGTGTTATAAGTGCTTTCACCTATTGTTATTGCTGTTATTTACAGTAAAAGACTTTTTAAAACAAAAGTCATTGATTCTGTACATAAACAGCTGTCTGAAAAAACAGAAAATGTCTTAGGAGGATATATGTATATTGCTAATGTTGGGTCACTCTACATTATTAAACTGAAGGCATTTAACCACTGGTACAAAAGCAGATCACTAATGCATAAACAAGATCAACCTGGGAAACTAGAGTTGATCTTTCTCGGCAAAAAAATAAGTTCCTTTGCTTTTATGCTAAGATGCTTCAAATTGCAAAATTAGTTTTAGACTAGCTTTCTCAGGCAGGCATATTAGTGTGTCTTTTGCTCCAGGACATTATGCATGTTTCTAGCAAGTATTAACTTGTGGTTTACACTGCAGGGGGCCTTTCAGTCTCCAGCTTAGGAGATTTCTCCGTCATGAATTTACCATCAAGAGTGTAGCTCTGCAGTTGATCTTCACTCAAATCAGGATATCACTTACAAAACCCTTTTGACCTATCTTTACCCAATTCAGTTAAATATGTCCTTAAAGTTTGGTAGCAGGTTAAAGAATATGTGATTGTATATTATTCAACAGATACCACACCTCAAAGAGACTTTTGTTTCTAGGAGAATAATGTGAATCTTTAAAAGGTTCAGCCCTTGGTTGGTGTTGTAGTTTGTTAAGTGAGGTATTTAAATTAGGTTTCATGTAGTCAGATGCAGCATGGTGAGGGACACTCAGATCAGAATAGCAAAAAGATTGTTTATTATTCACAGATTCCAGAGAATGGTGGCTAGCATACCTTGCTTATAGGGCTTATAGGAAGGGCTGAGACATTCAGGACACACATACCCAGCCAAAGGGTGGGGACCAAGAGAGAGGGAGGGACCTGTGGACTGGAGCCTTTACTGGGGTCCAGGGCATTATCTAGGTGAGTTTCCCAAGACAGGACTGGATGGGTTACTTTGAAGGGAGCTCAAGGCTCAGTAAAGGAACTTGAAGATTACATTATCAGGTTCACCAGGCTTAATGCAGAAGTACATTGGTCAAGTGGTTCATACTATGGGGCAACCCATAGAACACACAAATGGGGACTGGGTGAGGACTGCCTGAAAAATATGTAGGTCAAGGGTGACAAGCAGACACAGCATTCAAATGAATGACAGTCAACATCATTATAAGTGATGGTCATTGCATGCTTCTATTGTGCCTTACACGTTCAAAGTGCTGTATAGGTATTGCCTCATTTAATTAAAACATAATCTATAAGGTTGGTGTTGTTGACTTTTTCATTTTATATATGGGGAACTAAGGCACAGAGGCATTAGGTAACCAAGTAAGGTTTCAGAGCTGGTGAGTGCTGGAATTGTAATTCAGCTTTTGGGGTAGTCCAACTGTTTTGCTTGTTCATTTCCCTTCAGACTTTGAAAATCTCATAGCTGCTAGTCATTTAAATCTGCCTTCTGTTAGCCCTAGGTTCCTGGGATTAGAGTTGCAACTGAATAAATGTTTAAAATACGTTGGAACATATCAGAGCTGTAGGCTGAAATTGTAAAACTATGCTCCAAAAAAAATCCGCCAGCCGGAGCTGAGCAGCCCCATCTTGCCAGTCAGACAGGAAAATCCTGCTCATGCCAAGCTGTTAGCAAATGTGCCCCTGATAGCCCCTCATACTGCCTAACTTCTCCAAGGTAACACCTTGGTTCTTAAAGGCGTTTCATTAATTAAAAGCATTGTAGTGTTTTTCATTATTATTCATTTCAGAAAAGAAATATTGCTAAATTATTTTTTAATAAACCTCTACTGAACACTAACAGTGAAATTAGAAATTCTTAGAACTCAGTTTAGACGTTAATGGTATCAATGCTTTAAAGTTCATTTCAAGTTTATTGCCCATTCTTGTGCTGTCCCAGGCCACTCAAATGTCCCCATGTTGGATAGTGCTATAGTACCTGTTGTGCATGGAACAAGTTAGTCTTTGTTATTTATAGTTTTGAATTGATGTCAGGGGTTTTTCTTGTGGTTGCCTCCTTTCACCTCCACAAAACTGTAAGTTTTCCTAAGGCAGGGGCTATCCCCATATTTTTCCCTTTTCCCTGGAGTTTAAGACAGAATGAAACTAGATGTACAATACCTAACTAGGTCTCTACAGCACTGAATTTATAGTCTCTTACTAAAAATGAAGACAGCAAACCTTTAGACCGCTGTATTAGTTTCTTAGGGCTGCCAGAACAAATACCACAGAGTGGGTGTTTTAAACAACATAAATTTCTTTTCTCAAAGTTCTGGAGTTTTCTGAAGGTTCTGGAGGCTGGAAGTCAAAGATTAAGGTGCCTGCAGGTTTGGTTTCTCCTGAGGCCTTTCTCCTTAGCTTGCAGATGGCCATCTTCTCCCTGTGTCCTCACGGGACCTTTTCCCTGTGCCTGCACACTGTGGTATCTCTTCCTGCTTTATTAAGGACACCAGTCAGATTGGATTAAGGCCCCACCCATGTGACCTCATTTAACGTTCATCACCTCTTTGAAGACTCTGTCTCTAAATACAGTCACATTCTAAAGTACTGGGTATTAGGACTTTAATGTATGAGTTTTATGGGGGAACACATTTCTTTCTATAACAACTTCCTAGTCATATGGGGGCATGAGCACTGGTTTAGCAAGAACATGGTTATATCATTTCAGGGCTTGGTGACATTTGGGGATGTGGCCATAGATTTCTCCCAAGAGGAGTGGGAGTGGCTGAGTCCCATTCAGAGGAACCTGTACAGGAAAGTGATGTTGGAGAACTACAGGAACCTGGCATCGCTGGGTAAGGGCTCCCAACCCTTTTCCCACCCTTCACCCTACCCACTTACTTAACTAAGTAGCCATTCATGCCTTTATCACCAAGACCTGCACTGCCCTCTTCTGTCAAACCAAGGGGACTGCATCTCAGTCTGGACAGCCCCACAGCATGACCAGGTTGTTTCTTATGTGTCTAGGACTTTGTGTTTCTAAGCCCGATGTGATCTCCTTGTTGGAACAAGGAAAAGAGCCTTGGACAGTGAAGAGAAGGATGACAAGAGCCGGGTGCCCAGGTGAGTGTGAGAGAACCAGGTAGGGTGGGGCCACTGCTGGTAGTAGCTCAGTTGCCTCAGACACGCAGCATCTTCAACAGACTCTTCCTAAGCCTCTTGCAATAGCTGTTATTTATACTATTGGGGAATACAGAAATTTCAAACATAGCATTATTTCCAGAACAGCAAATTATCAAGAAATACAAGGAATCAGAATGATAGATTTCTTTCAGAGGTTTTATCCTAATAGGAAATGGTTTCTAAAGAATTGAGAATCTTACAAGGTTTATTTGTTCAATTCATACTTCAAAGGAAACAGTTGCATTGACAACAGGACAAGTTAGTGACATCTGTAAATTAAAGTGATTCACATGGGTCATCATATGGCATAAGAGAACAAAAATATTTTTGTGAAAGTTTCCAATTTAACATCATATTAAATCACATACTTTGAACTAGTTTAATGAGATAGAACTGTTTTTTTCTTCCTGCAAATCTTTCATCTCTTATTAAGACTAGTTAATTATGAAGACATACATTTTTAAGGCCAGGATCTGGACTTTTATGACTTAGCATTGTAATTAAAAAAAGGAGGTATGTAGAGATAGAGGTGAAATTTTTGCTAGATGAAATGCAGAAAGAGTGAAAAGGAGTTGTCTTAAAGCTGAAATAAGAATCACATAGCAGTTTTCTTCTGTACCCTCCACTTCCTCTTTATATTAGACATTTTATCTTACATTTAAGTCTTTGTGAGCTCCCTTATCTCTTGATTTTTAATTTCTTTTTCCAGTCTTCTGTTAAAACCATAATGTGAACTTGTTCAACTTTTAGGTGGGAAAGGTCTTATTGTGTCCTTTAGGACTATGGCTACACAAATTTGGGAATGTAGGCTTGGTTCAATATTGCTAGTAATATAAGAAAGCTTTCAAAATGATAAGCTTTTCATTGTCTTCCATAAAAATAAATGACTATGATAAAGTTTTTTTTGTGGCTTTCAGTTTAATGGTTACATTTTGGAATTTTTCTTCATGCTAACCCATGATAAAAGATATATTTGCCTTCTGAATATCTTTCAGACTTGAAGGCTGTATGGAAGATCAAGGAGTTATCTCTCAAGAGGGACTTCTGTGAAGGAAAGCTATCCCAGGCAATGATAAGAGAGAGGCTCACAAGCTATAGTCTGGAATACTCTCTATTAGGGGAGCTCTGGGATTGTGATGCTCTGTTTGAGACACAGCCGGTAAGTCAGAAGACAAATTTCAGACAAGAGGAAATATCTTCCATGAGGAAACTCTTCTTGAGGAAAAAGACTATGACTACAATAAGTATAGGAGAAGTTTTCATTTGAATACAGTGCCTCTTACAGACAGATTATCCCCTCAGAACAGAGAGCACCCAATCCTGATACACATAAGAAAAGTGGAGGGGGAAACTGAGTTGTAATAAATTACAAACAAATCTGTCAAGGTCAGAAATGTTTGTCTTATGACTAATGTAAGAAAACTTTGAGCAGAATATCAACCCCTCCTTTTCATCAAAGATTTCAAACAAAAGAAAAACCCTGTGGACTTGTTGAATAATTTATGTGAATGTGGGAAAGCCTTCAATCTGTGTTTAAAAGTTTATACTGTGTATAAGTACATCCACCTCTACCAAATGACAAATTCTCCACAGCAGAAAGTTTCTCCTATTTTTCTCTGTTTTTCCCCAAACATATATGCTATAACTAAGCCCTGTCGCATGTAACCTGGTGTACCAGAACTTCAGTTGCAGTTCTTGGTATGGAGTGTGTTTTTTGCAGTGTGTGGACACAATCCACCCCACTGGGACCAGGTGGGTTCACGAATATGGTTTCATTTAAAAAAACCTGCTTTTACCATTGCAGGGGTTGGTGACTATGAAACATCTGGCTATTGACTTCCCCCAGCAGTTACACCCAGCTCAGAAGAATTTCTGTAAGAATGGGTTATGGGAGAACTATAGTGACGTGGGATCAGCAGGTATGATGTCCCTCTCCCATATCTGAATGTGTCATTGGGAACCCCCATATTTAAACTTCAGTTTTGAATTATGGAGGCGGGAAGGGGTGTCTTCTGAAGTGCTGGCCTGAATTTTTGTTGTGCATTCCTAAGATAAGACTTTGGCATTTGTGGAGGTGAAAGTTGGTGTCTTTGTTATGTTTGAAGCATTATCTTCTGTGTCTTTCAGATCCTACTTACCTGTTTTTCTGCTTCTTCCAGCAGTAACACTTTTCTAACAATAAGGAAGTGGTTCTCAATTTTAGGATGCCAAGAGTATGATCAAAGCTCGTCTCTTTTCACTTTTGCAGGACATTGCATGGCTAAGCCAGATTTAGTCTCTTTACTAGAGCAAGAGAAGGAGCCCTGGATGGTGAAACGAGAGCTGACAGGAAGCCTGTTCTCAGGTGAGTGCAAGAGAGCCTGGTGTGGAAACCCACTGCAAGACAGAGCACAGCTTTTAATAAAAAGGCTGCATCCTCACTAATATACGGTAGGAAACTTTACCAGGCTCTCTGGGTCTGGAGAGAAAATGAACTCTTTCCAAATAATTCTTTCCTTCCTCCTTTGCCCCCTTCTCTCCAATAACTCCCATTTCCCTGAAATTCCTTCTTTTCTTGGCCACTGGGACATATATCATCCTCTCACTTCCATAAATGATCTTTTCCTGATCCTGATGGACTTTTGAGCTGACTTCCAAAGGTTTTCTCTTCTCTGGTTAAATGGCCTATTGTTTTCATCATGCATCCTTCTGTAAGAACCACAAATTGAAAGTTATGCGACTGAGCTGCTCTGCTGAGTATTGGCAGGTGATTGGAAAAAGGGAGAATTACACATAAATGTAAGCATCAATGAATTACTCTAATGGAAAGGATAAGACATGTTTATGGATAGCTTGCATGAAATAGAGTTTGCAGAATTTCAAATAGGGCATTACAGAGACAAAAGAGATGTTATTCCCAATGGCTTCTATGTTTTAGTAGTATAGGTGGGTAGAAGTTGAATTGCAAGAAGGTGGAAGTAAAGGGTCTTTTCCTCTTGATACATAAGGGAGAGAAAAGAAATTTCCATAGAAAATAGTGCTTTGTAGAAAATGTAATTATTTACCGTGCGGCAAAAGAATAAAAAAACATGACCCTATCACAACATACATGTTTGACCCATTTAAGTTAAGATAAACACATGTTTTTCACATAGTAGAAATTATAGTGTATATTCAGTTATGCATACAAATGTTTTTCATGTGCATTCTATGTTGTATATACCATTGCTCAGTTAGGTTGCTTTACATTTGTTAGTATTAAAGATACAGTTACAATAGTTTTTTTAATTAGATGAAAACAACACATTTTGGGGATTGCTGTATTCCTGGATATGAGCACCTGCTAGGCTCTGAAGGTTTTGTTTGTTTTTGGTGACTAACAGCAATTAGATGTATGAGCTTAATTGCATCTTGAAAGCATTGGGTATTTCATGAAAACTTTTGCTCATTATTTGTTGAAAGATATAGACAAAAATTACTCTTTTTTATGAAAGAAGTTGAACAGTTTCCCATAAATTTGGTTTTTCTCTTATCTTTTTGTAAAATATCTGTCATTTGTAGCCAGTTCTTTCTCTGTGTTAAATATTTTCTTAATAGTCTCAGTGATTGTTATGTATATAAGCTTACTAATTCTCTGATATATTGTCTCAAACTATTTTTCACATATGGCAATAAGTTTTAATGAGGTCTTTTAAAATTATGACATGTAAAATTTTACAATTTCTATATAGTCCAGTATATTATATCTAATGTGATTTCTCCTATTTGTGTGCCTAACAACTTGATACATATATTTCTACTTCATTTTTAATGACTGTTTCGTATTATATGAATATACATAATTTATTTAAATTATTTACTGTTTAGTATATTTAAACATTTAGGTCTTCTCCAGTTTTTACCTATAATCAACAGTGGTCCAGTTTGAACATATCTTCTTGCTTACATGTCAGAATATTTCTTGAAGATATATGCTTGGAAATGAATTTGTATGGTCAAAGTATACATATTTTTTAAGTGTCATGGATATTTTGCTGTGCCATTGGTAAAGAATGTGTGAGAATACTATTTTGAGACACCATCACCAATATGGGTATTTTATAGTTTTAAAAAATTTCACCAAGCTGCTGGATGAAAAATAATGTTTTATTTAATTTTCATTTCCCCAACTACCACAATATTGAGAATATGTGCATTTAAATCTGTTTAGAGTTTGTATTCTATTCATAGTGTGTTTATACTCATTACTCACATTTCTGTTAGGTTGTATATTTTCCTGTATTTATGCAGCATTGATATAAATGCTTTTTAATATAAATTTGATAAAACTTTTTCCCAATTTTGTGTGGTCTAGAAGTTTGTCTATGGTATTCCTCACTATATAGTTGTTTACTTGGGAGTTACCTTCATTTATAGAAGCATTTAGTTCATTGATTTTTTTCATTTGTTTTACTCCTAGCTGTTTTTTTTTTTTTTTTTTTTTTTTTTTTGAGACGGAGTTTCGCTCTTGTTACCCAGGCTGGAGTGCAATGGTGCGATGTCTGCTCACCGCAACCTCCGTCTCCTGGGTTCAGGCAATTCTCCTGCCTCAGCCTCCTGAGTAGCTGGGATTACAGGCACGCGCTACCATGCCCAGCTAATTTTCTGTATTTTTAGTAGAGATGGGGTTTCACCATGTTGACCAGGATGGTCTCGCTCTTTTGACCTCGTGATCCACCCGCCTCGGCCTCCCAAAGTGCTGGGATTACAGGCGTGAGCCACTGCGCCTGGCCACTCCGAGCTTTTAAAAAATGAATAGATGTATAATCCCATTTGAATCATATAATACATTTGTTTGACCTTCTGTAACTTAACTATTTCTCTCTCCTTTATCCCCTTCCTTCCTTTTCTTTTTTCCTTCTCATTTTTCCCTCCTTTCCTTACTTTTCTCCTATTCTGTATTTTGCTGTATGGTCTGTTTTTTTGTTTGCTTGTTTTATTTACCTTTTTTTTTTTTAATAGAAAAGTATTCGTAAAATTTAACCATTTTAAAGTGTGCAATTCATTCAAGTGACAGTACATTCATGATACTGTGCAAATCTCATCACCATCTAGTTACAGAAATTTTTCATCTTCCCAAAAGGAAGCCCAGTACCCTTCAAGCAGTCACTGTCTCTATGGATTTGCCTATTCTGGTTATTTCATACAAATGAAATCATGCAATAAGTGACCTATTATGTTTGACTTCTTACGCATAACGTAATGCTGTTTCAGATTCAGGGTTCATTCATGTTGCAGCATGTATGACTACTTCATTCCTTTTTATAGCTGAATAATATTCCATTGTATAGCTGTGCTACATTTTGTTTATTCATTCATCTACTGATGGACATTTGGGCAGTTTCCATCTTTTGCTACTGTTACTAGTGCTGCTATGAGCACTCATTTACAAGTTTTTGTTTGAACCCCTGTTTTCAATTTTTTGAGGTATATGCCTAAGAGTGGAATTGCTGTGTCATTTGATAAATCTGTGTTTAACTGTTTGAAGAACCGCCACCTGCATCATAGTTGTACTGTTTTTTATATTCTTACTAAAATGCACAAGTATCCCAGTTTCTGGACTCTCAGTTCTATTCCATTGATCTCTGTGTCTTCCTTGTGCCGGTACCTCATTGTGTTGATTTTAGTAGCTGTGTAGTAAGTATTCACATCAGGAAATGTATTTCTTCAACTTTGTTCTTAATTTTAAGATTGTTTTGGCTATTCAAGGGTCCTTGCCATTCTATAGGAACTTTACATGCAGCTTTTTTATTTATGAAAAATGGCCATTGGCATTTTGATATGGATTGAATTGAATCTGTTGATTGCTTGGGGACTATTACCATCTTAACGTTGTTGTCTTCCTAGCCATGAACATGGAATATCTTTCCATTTATTTAGATTTCCTTTAATTTCATTCAGCAATGTTTTATGGTTTTCTATGTATAATTTTGCACTTCCTTGGCTAAATTTATTCCTAAGTATTTTCTTGTTTTAATGCTATTTTTATGAAATAATTTTTATAATTCGATGGGGAATTGTTCATTTATAGTTTGTAGAAATAGAGCTGTTTTGTGTATTGATCTTGGGTCATGCAGTTTTGCTGAATGTATAAATTAGCTCTAATGCTTTTTCTTTGTAGACTCTTTAGAATTTTCTACATATAGGATATGTCATCTGTGATTAGAGATAGTTTTATTTCTTCATTTCTAAGTTGGATGCCTTTTATTTCTATTCCTAATTGCTCTGGCTAGAATATCCATCTAGTATATTGTTGAATAGAAGTCATAAATGCAGGCATCTTTGTCTTGTTACTGATCTAAGGTGGAAAGCTGTCAGTGTTTAGATGTAATTTTAAAAAGACTTTCTCTTTTCTTATTTAACATATTTTTCCAAACATTTGACTCTATGCATCACTTCCTTAAATCTGATTTCATCTGTCTGTCTATCTATCTGGAAATAATTATATATGCACAAAATTCCTCCTCCTCCTCCTCATAAGCATATTGCCTAAGATTAGTTCGTACTTGGTCAATAGTGTATACAAATGTAATTAAATATAATATTAGTATTCAATATTATTATATAAAGTATCTTCAAAAAATGAAATAATATGATCATCTCAATAGATGCAGAAAAGCATTTAACAAAATTCAACATCATGATAAAAACTGTCAACACACTAGGTTTGGAAGAAACATACCTCAATACAGTAAAGGACATATATGACAAAACTACCGTTAACATCATATTCAGTTAGATATATTCTAAAAGTTAGAAACTTTTCCTTTAAGATGAGAAACAAGACAAGGATGCTCATTCTCACCACTTTTATTCAACATATTGCTGGAAGTCCTAGTCAGAACAATTAGGGAAGAAAAGAAATATGAGGCATACAAATCAGAAAAGAAGTAAGATTGTCTCTCTTTACAGATGACATGATCCTATATGTAGAAAACCTGAAGGACTTCACCAAAAAACTGCTAGAACTAATAAATGAATTCAGCAGAGTTGGAGGATACAAACTCAACATATAAAGATCAATTGAATTTCTATACACTAACAACTATCCCAAAAAAAATTAAGAAAACAATCTCATGTATAATAGCTACCCAAAAAACAAATTTAATCAATTTATCAAAGAAATTGATAATTTCTTTCATCAGTGTTTCAGCTGTATGCTGAAAACCATAAAACAATAATGAAAGAAACTGAAGAAAATACAAATCAATGGAAAGATGTCCTGTGTTCATGGATCAGAAGAAATAATACTCTCAAAGTATCAATGTTACCCAAAGTAGTCTATAAATTCACTGCAGTCCTTATCAAAATTCTAATGGCATTTTTCACAGAAATAGAAAAAACAATCTTAAAATTTACATAGAGCTCCAAGAGACCCCAAGTAGCTAAAGCAATCTTGAGCAAGATGAACACACTAGAGGCATTATATTATGCTTACTGAGTTTGAATTATATTGCAAAGCCATAGTAACTAAAACAGTATGGTATTGGCATAAAAACAGACACATAGATCTGTGGAACAGATTAGAAAGCCTAGAAATAAACCTGTGAATATAAGGACAACCAATCTTTGACAAAGATGCAAAGAACACACAATACAATACAATAGGGAAAGGATAGTGTCTTCAACATATGGTATTAGGAAAATCGGATATCCATGTGCAAAAAAAAAAAAAATTGAAATTGGACCCTTATCTTACACAGAAGTCAACTAAAAGTGGACTAAGGATTTAAACGTAAGAACTAAAACCATAAAACTGGATAAAAACAGGAAAATCTCCATGATATGGGTCTTGGAAGTGATTTTTTTGATATGACACCAAAAACAGACAACAAAAGCAAAAATAAGCAAGTGATATTACTTCAAACTAAAAAGCTTCTGCACCAGAAAGAAAATAAAATGAAAGGCAACCTACAAAATGGGAGAAAGCATTTGCAAACCATACATCCAATAAGGGGTTAATATCCAAATATGTAAGGAACTCATAAAACAATAGCAAAAATGAAAATAAAAGTGATAAAGGTTCTGGATAGACATTTTTCCAAAGAAGACATCCAAATGGACAATAAGTATGTGAAAAGGCGCTCAACAGCATTAATCATCTGGGAAATGCAAATCAAAACCTTGGTGAAATTTCACCTCGTATCTGTTAGAATGGCTGTTATCAAAAATTCAAAAGATAAGTATTGGTGAGGATGTTGAGAAAAGGAAATCCTTGTACATTGTTGGTGAGTAATGTAAATTAGTACAACCATTATTGAAAACATGGAGGGTCTTAAAAAATTAAAAATAGAACTACCATATGATCCAGCAATCCCACTACTGGGTATATAGCTGAAATAATGGAATTAGTACCTAGAGGAGGTATTGGTGCTCCCAAGTTCATTGCAGCACTATTCACAATAGCCAAGAAATGGAAACAACCTATGCCCATTGACAGATGAACAGATAAAGAAAATGTGATATGTAAATATATTGTAAGGTGCATGTGTGTATATAGAAATCAAATATTATTCAGCCTTTAAAAAGAAGAAGATTCTGTCATTTGTGACAATATGGATGAGCCTGGAGGACATCATGCTAAATTAAATAAGCCAGGCACAGAAAGAGAAATACTGTATGATGTCTTACATGTGGAATGTAAAAAAAAAAAAAAGAAAAGAAAAAAAAAGTCAATTTTAGAAACAGAAAATAGAAGGTTGATTACCGCGGTTTGTGGGATGGGAGAAATGGGGAGATGTTGGTCAAAGGGTACAAATTTTCAGTTACAAGATAAATACATTCTAGAGACCTAATATGCAGCATCAGGAATATAGTTAAAAATAATGCATACCTGAAATTTGCTATGAGTAGATCTTAAATGTTCTCACCATACACACACAAATGTTAACTATGTGAGGTGATATGTTAGCTTGATTGCAGTTAAACATTCACCATGTATAAGCATATCAAAACATTTTACACCTTAAATATATACAAGTTTTATTTGTCAACTATGCCTCGATAAAGCTGGAAAAAGAGAGAAATTGCAAGCCTTCATTATGGAATGTCCAGAGAATTGAGGATTCTATTGTGGAAGTGACCAGGAAAATGTGAAAATGATTTTCTTTTTGAGTCAGAGTCTGGCTCTGTTGCCCAGGTTGAAGTGCAGTGGCTTGATCATAGCTTACTGCCATGTCAAACTCCTAGGCTCAAGCAATCCTCCTGCCTTTGCCTCCTGAGTAGTTGGGACTACAGGCACATACCACCATGCCTGGCTAACTTAAAACAATTTTTTTTAGAGATAGGGTCTTGCTAGGTTATGCAGGCTGGTCTTGAACTCCTGGCCTTAAAGCAATCTCTTGAACTCTGCCTCAAGCGATCCGCCTCAGCCTCCCAAAGCCCTGGGATTACAGGTGTAAGCCATTGTGCCTCGCCCTAAATGTAATAGTTTTTAGAACGGTAAAATTTATGTTGTTGAATTCACCAATTAGTGAATTAATTCACCAATTTTCCTTTTGGAAGATTCCTTTTTCCTAGCACATGATAAAATAAATGTGTGTTTTCTTGGTGTCTTTCAGGCCAGCAATCTGTATGTGAGACCCAGGAGTTATTTCCAAAGCAAGATTCATTTGCTGAAGGGGTAACAGATAGAACCTCAAACACTAAACTTGAGTGTTCCAGTTTCAGAGAAAATTGGGATCCTGACTGTGTCTTTGGAAGGAAACTGGCAGTAGGTCAAGAGACACGATTCAGGCAAGAGCCAATTACTCATAACAAAACCCTCTCTAAGGAAAGAGAACATACATATAACAAATCTGGAAGATGGTGCTATTTGGATGATTCAGAAGGGAAAGTTCATAATTGTGATTCAATTAAACATTTTCAAAAAAGTTCAGTGGTAATAAAACAAACAGGCATCTATGCAGGAAAAAAGCTTTTCAAGTGTAATGAGTGTAAGAAAACTTTTACCCAGAGCTCATCTCTTACTGTTCATCAGAGAATTCACACTGGAGAGAAACCTTATAAATGTAATGAATGTGGGAAAGCCTTTAGTGATGGCTCATCCTTTGCGCGACACCAGAGATGTCACACTGGCAAGAAGCCCTATGAGTGTATTGAGTGTGGGAAAGCTTTCATACAGAACACATCCCTTATCCGTCACTGGAGATACTATCACACTGGGGAGAAACCCTTTGATTGCATTGATTGTGGGAAAGCCTTCAGTGACCACATAGGGCTTAATCAACATAGGAGAATTCATACTGGAGAGAAACCTTACAAATGTGATGTATGTCACAAATCCTTCAGGTATGGCTCCTCCCTTACTGTACATCAAAGGATTCATACCGGAGAAAAACCATATGAATGTGATGTTTGCAGAAAAGCCTTCAGCCATCATGCATCACTCACTCAGCATCAAAGAGTACATTCTGGAGAAAAGCCTTTTAAGTGTAAAGAGTGTGGAAAAGCTTTTAGGCAGAATATACACCTTGCCAGTCATTTAAGGATTCATACTGGGGAGAAACCTTTTGAATGTGGGGAGTGTGGAAAATCCTTCAGCATCAGTTCTCAGCTTGCCACTCATCAGAGAATCCATACTGGAGAAAAGCCCTATGAATGTAAGGTTTGTAGTAAAGCATTTACCCAGAAGGCTCACCTTGCACAGCATCAGAAAACCCATACAGGAGAGAAACCATATGAGTGCAAGGAATGTGGTAAAGCCTTCAGCCAGACCACACACCTCATTCAACACCAGAGAGTTCACACTGGTGAGAAACCCTATAAATGTATGGAATGTGGGAAGGCCTTTGGTGATAACTCATCCTGTACTCAACATCAGAGACTGCACACTGGCCAAAGACCTTATGAATGTATTGAGTGTGGAAAGGCGTTCAAGACAAAATCCTCCCTTATTTGTCATCGCCGAAGTCATACTGGAGAAAAACCTTATGAATGTAGCGCATGTGGCAAAGCCTTTAGTCATCGTCAATCCCTTAGTGTACATCAGAGAATTCATTCTGGAAAGAAACCGTATGAATGTAAGGAATGTAGGAAAACCTTCATCCAAATTGGACACCTTAATCAGCATAAGAGAGTTCATACTGGAGAGAGATCTTATAATTATAAGAAAAGCAGAAAAGTCTTCAGGCAAACTGCACACTTAGTTCATCATCAGCGAATTCATACTGGAGAGTCGTCAACATGCCCCTCTTTACCTTCCACGTCAAATCCTGTGGATTTGTTTCCTAAATTTCTCTGGAATCCATCCTCCCTCCCATCACCATAGCCTCAAGATGCCATTTCCATTTGACTACTCCAACAGTTTAAAACCCCATCTCCCTGCCCTTTTGTTTTCTTTTGTCCCTTATTAGTTTGTTCTTCACATAAGTGTAAATGTAACTTATTCACTCCTCTTTAAAACTTATAATTCTTTTAAATTGGTTAATGCATAAGATGTGCTCGGAACAGTGCCTGGTCCATATTAAGTGCTCAGTAAACTTAGCTCTTTTTAAAACTTTGTATTTGAACATTGAAAAGGTACAGTAGTCAGCTCAGAAAAAATCATACAGTAGGATGAGGATAGCAAACAGCACATTTTAGATCAGGAACAGCATTCCCCAGGTAGTGGGTGAGGTTCTGCCTATGTTGGTTTAAAACTTGATTCTATAATGCTGAGTTAGTATTGTGGCTTTCCATCTGACTTTATGTGAATGTAAGGTGATATGACCATGTTGATGAGAAAATTCAACTTTACATTGGACTTGATTTGTTTTAGAAAGTCTAGGGATCATGAATGAATAGGTCACCTGGAACGAATCAATTTTAAAAATTAGAAAAATGCAAGATTTATATGCATAAAGTTAAAACAGCTGACATGTTACTCAAGAATTAGAAAACTTTGCAAGATTTGACCTGTTTAAAAATCACTTGATTTATAAATGAATGGTACTAAACTTTTAAGGAACCATTGATTGTCAGGTAAAGTGATCCAGGGTAGGGTTCAGCAAACTGACTCATGGCCACAGTCTCACTGACTGTTTTTGTAAGTCCATGATCTAGAATTTTAAAAACTTTTAAATGGTTAAAAAAAGTAAATAATATTTTCAACATGAAAATTATATGAAATTTAAATTTTGGTGTCTGTAAATAAAGTTTTGTTGGCTCCAGCAACACATTGATTTATACCTTGTCTGTGCTGCTCCCAGGCTATAGCAGCAGAGTTGAGCAGTTATGACGGGAGACCATGTGGCCTGCAGAGCCCAAATATCTACTGTCTGATCCTACACAGGAAATGTATGTGATCCTGCTATGGAGCAGAGGTTATCAAACTAAAGCTCAAGGGCCAAATCCTGTCTACTGCTTGTTTTTGTAAACAGAGTTTTATCAAACCAGAGCCATGCTTATTTGTTTAGCTATTGACTATGGCTGCTTTAGACAACTGTGTCAGACTATGTGGCTCGCAACACTTCAAATATTTACTATCCTTTTCAAGAAAGTTTGCCAACCTCTACTCTAAAGAAAAATGTACAAAAGATTCTAATTTTATGAGGGCAATACAATTCTCACATCAAAAACAAGAAAACAAATTATAAAAGAACTCATTTATGAATAGAGGTGAAAGGAGGACATTATAAAACTATATTGAAAAATAAAGATGTCAATAAAAGAAATGATATTTTTCCAGGTGAAATAATATTGTTAAAATGTTTATAAATTATAATTCAGTCCCAGTGAGATATATTTATTTTGACGGTAACAGGGAAGCATAATAAGGCAAGAATAACAAGATTTTTTTTTTAAAGAGATGGAGGCCTCACTCTATCACCTAGGCTGGAGAACTGTGCTAAGATCATAGCTCACTGTAACCTTAAAATATTTTTTTTGTAGAGACCGAGTCTCACTTTGTTGCCCAGGCTGGTTTTGAACTCCTTTCCTCAAGTGATTCTCCTGCCTCAGCCTTCCCCCAATTTTTTGAAATAAATTTCTTTGCATATGAGATTTTGGTATATAAAAGCACTATTATTTCAATATCAGGGAAATGATGTTTTGACAATTGGTTATCCACCCTCTCCAATAAAAATCATGAAATAATACGTTAGAGGCAAATGTAGAAAAAAAGGAACCTTTCATCAAGTAGGTCATGTAGTCCTACAAGCCATAAAGAAACAGAGAACAAGTTGGCCCGTGCAAAGATCTAAAACTTCAGCATGGTGAAAGGCACCAAAAAACATGTAAAAGACAGTTGGAGGAAAATGTATGCAACTTATAGAAAATAACAGAATGTTATTACATATACAGAGCACTAGCGACAATTGGCCATGCATACCAATAGGCAAATCACCCTGAAGAATCCAAATGAATAAAGAAATCTGTGAAATTCTTAACCTCATTAATCAGAAGAATATGAATGAATCCACATTTTCCTGGCTGTTAGGTGGATGACAATATAAAATTCTGATAATATCCAGTAATGGGTATTAGTGTGGAAAAACAGGTACGTGATCATTATTGCAGTGTAACTTTGTTCCTTATCTCCTTGGATGGCATGACCTATCAACATTATAAATGTGCATTTTTTTGAAACAGTAATTCCAGATCTAGGAATTTTATCCCAATGAAATAAATTGGTAGATATAAATAATGTTTTCTTGTAGAATTGTTTTAATTATGCCAAATAGGAATTCAGTGCCCTGCCAAGTAGATTGATTATAGTCATTCAATACTGTGTTGTGCAGTTAGTAGAAAGCAGTTAAACTCTACATGTACTCTGTGGAGTGGCATCTACAACATATTTAATGAAATATGTGATTTATAGAACCTTACATGTAAAATGATCGAGTCACAGAGTCAGAATTAATATTGAATATATATGTGTGTATGTACACACTTACACATGCACAGACTCAGTATATATGTTGAACTCTGGTTTTGTGTTTAACACGCAGACTTTTCCTAGCATTCTGTGGGTACTTTCTGTTTCTTCATTCTGTATTGTTCTGGTGAACTGCCAGTGACGCATAGCTCCAGTGAAGCAAATCAGATTTTTTATTATCTGTATTTTGATTGGGGACACAGGGACAGGAACATGGCCAATACTCAGCTTTATGAACCAGTATGGCTGGAATGGATGTTTTCTTTTAGTTGGTATTCATTTTGATTGACGGGACCTTTATTGTACCTGTTGTGAAGAATGTGGAATATGACTCCTAGGCTGGAATTCGTTTGAATTAAGTCATCCTCTGGCAGCAACCTAAGGATTCCTCCATTTGTCACTGGGATCCATTGAGATGATTTCTGCTTTCTCACATTCTGGTTTTGTTCAATTATTTGAATCTGTGAACTACTTGGTATTCTAATATTTTGAATTTTAAGTTAGAATCACGTTATTTGGTTCTCATGCAAAGAGAGCTAGCCAATACAGAATGATTACCAGACTGTAGAGAAGCAGGGTATTCAAGATTGATGTCGAGTGAGACAGATGAAAGGACAGGTAAATTACTAATTCTGTTTTGTGCTGTGAAAGGGTATTCATGATATAGCAGGATCTTAAGCCCATTGTTCATTAGGGGCTGGATAGCTCCTACCAAATGCAAAAGTATTGAGGAATATTACCTCCAAAAGTGTGTACGATACCTGTCTATAATGAAATTGGGTAATTAAAATTTCAAGGCTACTTGAAATTATGGCCTTAAGGAATTGAATCAGTACCTTTATGTCTGTTGGGAAGAATCTCATACTCCTAAGCATGGGGCTGCATTTGCCAAAAATTAAGGTGAGCAGGAGATGTAGTTATTTGCGCAACAATGATGCTTACTGAATTTTCAACCTTGCCACATCTGTTAAGCAGTTAGGGAAATACTGGAATTTGGATTATTGGGATAAGACTATCAAGAAGGATTCAAGGATCTTAGGAAACTTTGACTCCCCCTCTCAACCCTTAAGCAGTCTCTATACTGATTCTACTTTACATGCTTCCCTTGTGACTGGAAACTTTTTTTTTCCTTTCTTTCTTTTTTAAAAAAGAGACAGGGTCCTGCTATCACCCAGGCTGGAGAGTAGTGATATGATCTTGGCTTGCTTCCGCCTTGACCTCCTGGGCTCCAGCATTCCTCCCACCTCAGCCTCTTGGAGTAGGTGGGACTCCAGGCGTGTGCCACCACACCCAGAAGTTTTAAATTTTTTATAGATAGGGGGTTTTGCCATGTTGCCCAGGCTGGTCTTGAACTCCTGGGCTCAAGTGATCTGCCTGCCTTGGTCTTCCAAAGTGCTGGGATTACAGATGTGAGATACCACACTCAGCCTGTGACTGAAAATTTGATTGTCCCTTTTCTCACATGGGGGTCACCATTATTGCTTGGCTGGTAACAAAAATAAAAAAATCAGAGCTTAATATGACCTGCAGTTTGAAATATAGGAAGTTAAGAAGGAGATTAATCTCACCCAGAAATATTTAATTTCCTTTATTGGTTACAACATCAAAAATCTAAGGAACATTGTTGGAAATGTATTTTGAGGGTTAGAAATTACTTTGCATAATATATAAGGACTGAAAGAATTCAGAAGTGTATAATGCTGGATTCGATCATATATGTCCATGCCCTTCACTCCATCTGCAAGTTCCTCTATCAGGGCCCAATAGCCTTTCCTTAATCCTTTGGCATGAAGGAAGCCCTGAAAAATGTCCCTAGATCTCCTCCTTTAGGTGTGGAAACTTTTCATGAGTGATTACATTTGAAAGAGTATCTGATTTCTGTAGAACTGTGGCATGTGTAGTGGGTGGATTAAAGGGCAATCATTTTGAGAAGAAAGCAAAAATGTTATAATAAATCTCAGAACTCTAAGAGTGTTCTGATTTCTGATATTTGCACTGTAATGAATAATTGATCCCCAGTGTTGAAACTGCACTAAGGTTTTATTTTAATTAAAAACACTTCATGGCATGGCATCCAAATCTCATATTGAAATAAATCAGTGGCAGGGGAGTGGATACTCCTGAACAACTGTAACTCCACTGGAATTTGAAAAAGACTTGCATTTATGCAGAGTGAGGGCTTATGTTAGAATTCTTACATAAGCGTAGCTTAAAGCAAGGTGTATTGAGACCACAAATGCATACTTGGCTGTTTAAAAACATGCGCTTTGAACGAAGAGACCTTCCAAACAGGCTTTGTGTGAGCAACATGGCTGTTTATTTACCTGGGTGCAGGTGGGCTAAGGCTGAAAAGGACATTAGCAAAGGGCAGTGGGATAGGAGTTGGTTTTATAGGTTTGGGTAGGTTTTTGGGGGGCAGGGGTGTTGCAGAGTAAGTTCAGTTACAGTGATGGGGGTAGGGGCAAGGAGTATACAAGTTCAGTTACAATGGCAGGGTTGGGTGAGGGGCTTGTGGGAAGCTCTGCTGGGCAATCAGGGATGATGGCGAACACAGGCAGAGGGTGGGAGACTTCAGCCAGAGGCAAGCAGGACTTCAGACTTTCAGGCTTCAGGCTTGCATATGGAGACCTGACAGTGGCTATTTTCCCAGGTCCTGTGTGTGCATTTGTTAATGATATCTATGATATGTGTCTAGATGACCACCAAAAGTTTGCGTTCTTTTCTGTTGTCTGGAATTGATCCTGGGATGTCTGCCCAGGCACCTTTGCTTCATTTTGTCTATCAGATGAATTTTCTTCAATGCAGTGTGAATAGAAGCAATATGTCATTCGGAGCTTGGTTTTTTTTTGTTTTTTTTTTTTTTTTTTTGAGACGGAGTTTCGCTCTTGTTACCCAGGCTGGAGTGCAATGGCGTGATCTCGGCTCACCGCAACCTCCGTCTCCTGGGTTCAGGCAATTCTCCTGCCTCAGCCTCCTGAGTAGCTGGGATTACAGGCACGCGCCACCATGCCCAGCTAATTCTTTGTATTTTTAGTAGAGACGGGGTTTCACCATGTTGACCAGGATGGTCTCGATCTCTTGACCTCGTGATCCACCCGCCTCGGCCTCCCAAAGTGCTGGGATTACAGGCTTGAGCCACCGCGCCCGGCTCGGAGCTTGGTTTTTAAGAAAAGGATGTTCTGTCCAGATGGAGGAAGAATGTCAACCATATGGGATGGTAAAGCTGAAAGATAGAACTCTGTCCCTAAACCACTATTTGGAGGAAAGCTCCCCAGTCATCAAGGAACACCAGCAATGGATTATTATATGAGTGAGAAACAAACTTACATTGTGTTAAGGTAATGATATTTGGATTTCAATTGTAATAGCAGCTACTATAATTGTAATCAATTTAATACCTTTACTGATAGAATTCCTATTTTCCCTCACTGAGCCATAGAGTAGGAACTGTGATAGTGCATTGGTTTCCTGTTGTTATAACAAATCACCCCCAAAGCTTAGTGGCTAAAAACAGATGTTTATTATCTCAATTTCTTTGGGTAAGGAATCCAGATACAGCATAGCTGGGTGCCTCTGGCTCAGGTTCTCTCAGAAGGCTACAGTCTACCTGTTGGCTAGCGCTGCAGTCATCTGAAGATTTTATTAGAGGACAATCAGCTTTCAAGCTCATGTAAGTGGGTAGGACTCAGTTCCTCACAGGCTTTGGCTGGACATGTTGGTTTCTTTCCATGTGGGCCTCTCTGTAGGGCAGCTTACAATGGCAAGTGGCTTCCTTGAAAGTGAGTGAGCAGGAGAGGATGCCCAAGATAGAAAATGAAGTCCTTTTATAACCTAATATTAGAAGTGATATCCCCTCATCTTTGGTTTTGGTTAATTAGAAGTCACTAGGTGTAGCCTACCTTCAAGGGGAAGGGATTACAAAAGGGTTTGAATAAGAGGAGATGGAGAACTTTGAGAGCCATCATAATGGCTTTCCACCAGTCTTCTCTCTGTCCTGAACTTCCAGTGATTCATGTCCCTTTCACACACAAAATTCACTTACCCCTTCCAAGGCCCCTCTCAGAGTCTCACCTCATTACAGGATCACTTCAAAGTCAATAATCTTGTAATCTAACATAGGAACAGGTGCTAATGAGGCCCATAAAATATAGTTTCTTAAGTATGGGTATTGATCTGCAGACCTTTAGACTTAAAGAAAATAAAGAACAAGTTATCTGCTTCCCCTCCTCTACCATGCCTAACCAACACAGTAGAATCACTACTTCACAGCACTTCTGAAATTTGGCCAGACAAATGTTTAGAAATTTCTTGATTAGGTCACAAGGCCTGGGATAATTATCCACCATCTGAACTCTTGCTTCTGCCCGCTGAATCATCCTTTTGTCCTGAAATACATTTGCAGCTCAATAGCTTTCTTAGCTTGCTTACCAATACTAGAGTTTTAGGAATCTAGTGGTGTCACTTCATTTTGTGCTGTCTCTGTCCCTCTCACTCTAGTTGGCAGAGTTTCTACTGATTCTTCTGCAAATGTTGTGGGCTTCATGAAAATCTCATTGGGGTTCATTGCACTAGATGAAAGCCACAGCCACAAATCTCTTTGAGATAAGCTTCTTAGAGGCATAACTATTTGAATAAGAGTCTCTCAGCTCTCTTTAATCTCTTTACAGAGTTTTTGTGGGGTTAAATAGTACTCTGAGATACCAGCTTTAGGTTTTGCTTTGTTGCCCAGGATGGAGTGCAGTGGTAGGATAACAGCTCACTCAAGCAATCCTCCCACCTCAGCCTCCTGAGTAGCTGAAACTACAAGTGTACACCACTACACACAGCTTTGTATTTTTTTAACGATGGGGTCTCACTATGTTGCCCAGGCTGGTCTCAATCTCCTGGGCTCAAGCAATCCTCCCACCGTGGCTCCCCACAGTGCTGGTATTACAGGTATGAGCAACCACACTGGCCTGGTGTCTGTCATTAACTTTAGAAAATTCTCAGTCATTATTCAAATATTTTCTCTTTTTTCTCTCTTCTCCTTCTGGTATTCCAGTTACACATATATTTCACCTTTTGTAATTCTCTTTTTCATTTTTTTTCTTTGTAGTTCAGTTTGGCAAATTTCTATTAACATATCTTCAAGCTCACTCATTCATCTCTCAGAGTGTCTAGTCTACTGACAAGTTCATTAAAGGTTTTCTTCATATCTGTTACAGCATTTTCAATTGCTAGTATTTCCTTTTGATTCTTTCTTACAGTTTGCATCACTCTGCTTACATTACCCATCTGTTCTTGCATGTTGTCTACTTTGTCCAAGATGCTTCTCCTTCTATGGGCTTCCCTAAGAACTCCTTCTTAAATAGAGTTTGTGCCTTGTAGCTTTCTCTGTTGTAATCCACTGTTATTGACCAGAGCCCCATTAGTGTGGCAGTGAGGTACAGTGGGAAGGGAAGCATTCTATAATCTTATGAAATTACCAGTTTTCTAGTGGGCTTGAGTCCTTGGACTGTGATCTTCAGAAGCACTTCTTAGCCTTTTAAAAATCTTGCCTTACTGAGACAGACAGGCTATAGAGGAACTAGAACTGGCCAAATGCCTCTCCCCAAGGTCTAACAACTCTAGTAAGTAGTTTTCCTTGGAGTGCAGGTGTTTATTATGGAGAATGCTGTGGTTACTCTTCTTCTTCCCTTGCCCCAAAGCCTGAGATTTTCCCCCATTCTTCACTGTGAGAATTTGATAGGGTTTCTGGAGGTAAAATTCAGGGAGGTGTGGGGACCCATCTAACATTAGGCTCGTATGAGTTTTTAACTCACAAGGTAGCCCATACTAAGCCTCCTGCAATTCATAAAAATTATAAAATAAAAGTTTCTACCAGTTTATAGCTCCAGTGGCTTCTGCTTCAAGTAAGCTAAGCTTGGGTGTGATTTTATGTATTTTTCTTTCTTAGGATTTTGTGGTGTCAGTTTCCTTTCTATCTTTAGTTCTCTGATGGATCTAAGAAAAGTTGATTTTCAGTTTGTTGAATGATTTTGTTGTGAGAATGGGAATGAAGGCTTCTGAGCTCTTTATATGCCAGAGCTAAAGTGAGAATATCATTTTTATCCAATTCAAATAACCACAAAATGTTACAAGCTCTAAGATGGCATTTGCTGTTTCATAGAGAAAGTATTTTCACAGCGAGACTTAGTTTTCTTATGATATCTGAGGTAAACTGGATCCAGAGTAGAGAGTAGAGAGTCCAGTCTAGATGTGACTGTATGGCCTTGAGTGGTTGTGACTGGGGGGGTGAGTTAATTTCTGGTGAGCCAGTATCTATGATGCTTTGTCTTGGTCAGCGGGGGCTGCCATAACAAAATATCATAGACTGAGTGACTTGACTAAGAAACTTTATTTTTCACAGCTCTGGAGGCTGGGAAGTCAAATTGTTGGCACATTCAGCTCTTGGTGAGGGCCCTCTTCCCTTGCAAATAAATGGCTTACATCCTGCTATGTCCTCACATGGCCTTTTCTTGGTGGTTGTGTAAACATGGAGACCCCTCCTTCCTCTTTTGCTACAAGTGCACTGACCCCATCATAAGGGCATCACCATTATGACCTAATCTAAGTCCGATTACCTCCCCAAAGCCCCAACTCCTAATGTCATCACACTAGGGGTTAGAGTTTCACCATAGTAATTTTGGGTTGACACATTCAGCCCATAACAAGTTGTGTCATGATGAGACTGGTAATGCTAGATTTCGTGATTTCTTAAAAAAGCAAAACAAACTAAGCACCTACTATGTGCTGTTTTAGTCACTGAGAATATAACCCTGAACAGGACTGAAGCTGTGTGCCTTCTTGGAACCTTCCTTCTAGGAGGCAAAGAGAAAATGGGGTGGGGGGAAGTGAGGGGCGTACCTTATATCAGAGAGCAGTGACTAGTAGGCATGAAATAAAACAGGCTCCAGACGTGCACTATCAGAAAGTCACAAGTGTGCAAAGCAGGCATATCTTTTGTCTTCACTTTTCTATCTCGTAGGCTCCTCCCGAGCCCCAAGCCCCGTCGTGTGTCATGGTTTTCGTCTCTTGAGGTATCTGCCACGCCTTACTCGCTGCATTTCAGTGCTGTCCAACTGCGCCTGCACACCCTGCGCCTGAGACCCCACCCCCCACGGGGGGGCGCACCTGCGAGCTGGAAGCCGGTTCTCTGCGTCCTGAGCCTGGCAGCTGCGTCTGCACACTCGGAGCCTGGCGACGGCTTCCAGAAACCCGGCGCCGGGGTTCGCTTCAGTGAAGCGGCCTGTACTTCGCGGACTCAGAATCCGGGCTGAGAGGACTCCTAACCCAACCAGGAGGTCCAGGAGAGGTCCAAGAAGGGGACACAGGACAGTGACCGCCAGGCTTGAAGAGGCTCCGCTTCTGGCAAACCCGGCGCCCGATTTCTGAACGCCACTTCCGTTCGGGACTACACTTCCCAGGGGCCATTGCAGTGGAGGACACGCTCACTTCCGGAGAGGACCCGAAGCCAGACGAGTGAGAGTCCCGTCCAGTGCTGAGGAGAAAGCGGGCCCGGGCGGGGCGGCGGGGATGGTGTCCTGGCTGCTGCGTGGGCGGCGGTCGTGAGCGTGCGCGTGTGGCCTGGTGGCCGTGAGTGCCCATACGTGGTGAGCGTGTGGTGAGGCGCTGAGGAGGAGCGAGCGCGCGCGGTAATCGGGCCCGGCGTTAGGCTGCAGTGCGTGACCGCCCGATGCGTGGCCGCGAATGTGCGCCTGAGTGCTCGTCCCGGCAGCGTGCTGAAGGCGGTGTGTGCTGCAGTGAGTGAAGCACTTTCAGTGGGCGAGAGCAGGAAACCCTCCCGGAGGAGGTTTACCCCGCCAGCTCCTGTATCGACTGCCTAGAGCCCCGTGTGGGAAAGCCCTAGAGCCCGAGGCAGGTGCCCAGGCGGGGCGGCTTCTGCTGAAGCATTTCCTGTCGGCCCCACCTGGTGGGGGCGGAACTGAGGACGCGGCCCCATGTCCACAGGACAGCGAGGAGCGGAGACCATGGGATCTGAGTACAGAGGTAAGCGTGACCGATGACTTGGATGTGGCTGCGAGAGTGGACATTGAGGTTTTGGGGGCTGTCCTTCGGGGTCCCGGTGCTGGAGGAGGATGTCCCTGGTTTCTAAGGCTAGTGGACCCAGAAGTCCAAAGATTTGGAGCGTCTCCTTGCATCAGAGTGGAGCTGGGTTTACGGAGGGACCTTGACTTGCCCCGAGGCACCTAACCAGATACTCAACTTAGGTCCTTGGGATATCACTAAGGGCCCAGCGGAGAAAATATTACCCTTTATAACATTACCTCTGGGTACTCTGCTGCTCTTCAAGGAAGATCTCAATATGTAGATTTTTATCCGTCAGAGCCTTGTCCAATCTATCACTGTAGGATGGGACTTGGGAAGAAGGCGAGATTCACAGCTTCACCTAGAAATGCCGAGGCATTCCCGCCTTTCTGTGGTTTAATCACCTTCTAGTCAATAACAGAATATATCCCCATTCCTTGGGCTTCTGTCCTTCCCCTCTGGCCTCCCACCCCAAAAAAGATAAATGGGAAAGAAGGGCTATTTTTAGCCATATTGTTCTTATTTTTAGCCATATTGTTTATTATGTGCCAGGCACAATTCTAGGACCTTTCGGGAGTATCAACGCCAAACTTTGCAATATTATGAAGTAAGAACTACCTTACCTCCTTTTTACAGATGAAGACACTGAAGCATGGAGAGGATAAGTAATCACTAGTAACCGAAAGAACCGGGATTGAGATCCAGAACAGGCTGACTCCAGAGTCCCTCTGTTTACTTACTGACTGTCATGTAGTCTCCTTAACTACTGCCTGAGGTAGGTTTCTTAGCCACTTTTGACAGTTGATGAAACTGACTCTGAAAGGGTTAAAAAACTGAAAAGTTTATATCCCAGAACCTCCACTGAGCAGGTTTGGGGTTTTTTTTCTTAAACTTTATGACTCTAAGTTCTTACATAGAATGGAGGTGGTAATATTATATACCTCACAATACTGTCTTAAGGATTAAATGACTTCATACATATAAAGCACTTAGTATCGTCCCTGCCATGTCATAAGTGTTCATTTTTATCATTATTATGATAATCCTCTGAGAAGGCAGTAGAATTTAGATGAAAGAAGCCAGAATTAATTCAGATACTTTGTCCTCTTCCTAATTAAGGAAACTTGGCTTAGTGGAGTCAAGGCACTTCTTCAACACTGTAGTTTGTTAACAAAGCAAAATGAGATCCTGGGCCTCATGAGGATTTTTTGGTTTAGTTGTCGGAAAGTCACATGGACTCTGCTGTGACAAAAGGAATGCCTCTCTCTGGGGAAGATGGAATTCCCCAAGGAATTTGTCTTATAGAATATTCACAAGTCCTGGCCAGTTACACAGAGGACTTACTTTCTGGTGTCTGAACAAATAACTTTTGTGGTAGAATCAGCCAGACCTAGGTTGGTGACTGAGTTTCATTATTTACAAACTTGTGTGACTTGTGAAAAAGACTTGTCTTCCCAGTGACAGTATACTCTATTCCCTTTGAAGATTGTGGAGATTTAAAGAGAGTATTAATATATTGCAGCACAGACATGGTGGCTCATGCCTGTAATCCCAGCGCGGTGGGAAGCGAAGGCAGGGAATTGCTTGAGGCCAGGAGGTTGACCAGATACCCAACTCCAAGAGGTTGCTACCTCCTGACCTAAAGCAATATAGTGAGCAATTGGGCAATATAGTGAAACCTCCATCTCTATAAAAAGTAAAAAAAAAACAAAAAAAAAACAAACAAAAACAGCTAGCTGGGCATGGCACTTGCTTGTAGTCCTAGCTACTAAGGAGGTCTAGGATGGAGAATCACTTGAGCCCAGAGTTTGAGGATACAGTGAGCTATGATCACATCACTGTACTCCAGCCTGGGCAACAGAGTGAGGCCCTGTCTTAGAAAAAAAAATGTAGGCCGGGCGCGGCGGCTCAAGCCTGTAATCCCAGCACTTTGGGAGGCCGAGGCGGGTGGATCACGAGGTCAAGAGATCGAGACCATCCTGGTCAACATGGTGAAACCCCGTCTCTACTAAAAATACAAAAAATTAGCTGGGCATTGTGGTGCATGCCTGTAATCCCAGCTACTCAGGAGGCTGAGGCAGGAGAATTGCCTGAACCCGGGAGGCAGAGGTTGCGGTGAGCCGAGATCGTGCCATTGCACTCCAGCCTGGGTAATAAGAGCAAAACTCTGTCTCAAAAAAAAAAAGAAAAAAAAAGAAAAAAAAATGTACACACACACACACAGAACACCTGGTATTAATATATCTGTTGTTAATGAGTTGGTGGCTGATGGGGAGAGGGAATCAAGAGATACTATGCTCATCCTGAAAACCCAGAGCAGAGGGGAATCCCAGTTGTATATTTCAAGTTTCCCAAGGAGTAACTGGACTGTTGGGTGAGGGAGTTAGAGTGGGGGTTGTGAGTGAGGACAGAAAGAGCTGAAGGGAAGAAAGCATTTTCAAACTTAGACTATTAGTGCTACTTGGATTTTCACTACTTCTTTCTCCTCCCCAGCTCTGCAATACCAGAGTAAAGCTCTTCTCCAAATGAAGAGCCAGGAAGAGGGAGAGGTGACAGAAATTAAACTTCTTAAAGCCATGTCCCCGGTGAGTTAGTATTCCCTCTCTCCCCACTAAAATAGTCCTGCTTTTCAGGATTTGGTAATACTTGTTTTCTTCCGAAAATTTTCTGCTTAAGAGTTCCACCCTGAGGCCTATTTCCCGTTTCTTTCCTTTCTGATATGTGATGGGGTTGTGAGTGAGGGATAGACTCACACCGCCCAGTGCTCTCTCAGAGGTTTCTTCTCTTCTTTTTACTCATTTTATTTTTCATTCAAGAAATGACCAGTCTGAGTCCTTCCTTTGTGCTCAATCTTTTCATAGGCATCTGACAAGACAGATGTACAACGTTTGGAGGAAATTTCCATGCCTAGTTCCTAAGTCTCAGTCCTGATTCTCAGAGAGGTTATAATCTGTTGGAGAAATGAAAAGGCAACAAACACTTATGCAGTGTGATAAGTGCTGCAAGCAGAGAGTAGACTCACAGTGGAATAGTTGGGAAAGGTCATAATGTCTTTGGGTGAATTCGAAAAAAAGATGCCCCTTCCTCTGGACTGGTGATGCTCTGTGACAGACCATACAATATGGCAAGAGGAAGTCTACTGTATTTTAGCTCCTTCCTGCCTCCTTGGTGAGGTATCCTTGAGCAGGATATAGCCTGCACCATCATACTCACTCCTGAGGGCATGAAGCGTTGGGGAGACTTCACAGAGGTAATGATTCCTAAGTTACGGCTTGAATGAAATGGAGGAAGTGCAGGCACAGGTAGGATTGGTGGCATTCTGACCAGAGTATGCAAAGGTTTGTCCTCCCCATTTGACCACGGAGCCATGAGCATTGTAAATACCAAGGAATGTTTTACCTCCTTTTTTCTTTCTAGGATGAATACTGTAATCTGTTTAATCAGGCCCTTGTTGTTCCATAGGTAAATTGTTGCCAATTATCTGCTATTAATAGAGTATTGCAGTAGTCATCCTTGTAGTTGAATTTTTGCCCTCATCTCTGATTAATTTCTTTGACTAAATTCCTCGTTTTTCATTCCTTGTCGTTAGAGTTTCTCAAACTGACCCTAGTCTAGAACATTTTTAATTTTTTTTTTTTTTTTTGGCCAACAACAGGAGCTTCAGAGCTATGGTTGATGTTCTGATTAAGATAAACTGCTAAACTAGTTTCACCAGCAAATTGCTTATTGTAAGAAAGTATTTAACTTGATGTACAAACTTAGAAAATTAAATTTTTTTAAATGGAGTAGTTAATTGTTTTTTTCAAGATGGAGTCTCACTCTATTGCCCAGGCCAGAGTGCAGTAGCGCAGTCTAGCTCACTGCAGCCTCCACCTCCCAGGTTCAAATGATTTTCCTGCCTCAGCCTCCTGAGTAACTGGGATTGCAGGCATGTGCCACCATGCCTGGCTAATTTTTAAAAAATTTTTAGTAGAGACCAAGTTTTACCATGTTGGCCAGGCTAGTCTCAAACTCCTGACTTCAAGTGATCTGCCTGCCTCGGCCTCCCAAAGTTCTGGCATTATAGGTGTGAGGCACTGTGCCTGGCCATTTTTTTTTTTTTTAATAATAGGCATAACAACTTGTAGCCAGAGCATGACATCTTTTCTTAGGTATAATGCCAAAAACATACACTACCAAGGTAACTTGTTTCTTAGGGCATTTAGACATTTTAAACAAAAGCATTCATATCAGTTGCCAGAGAAAAATATTTTAAGAGTGGTAGAATATGTCATGAAGGTTAAGATGGACTATGCACACTCTACTCTTTTTCCCACTGAAAGTTGCTATAAAACCAGGACAACATGCCTGAATAGCAATCTGAGGTCTCTGTAAAGTAAATAGTAGCAGACAGGCCAGACACAGTGATTTACACCTGTAATCCCAGAACTTTGGGAGGCTGAGGTGGGTAGATCACCTGAGGCTAGGAGTTCAAGATCAGCCAGCCTGGCCAACGTGGTGAAACCCTGTCCCTACCAAAAAAAAAAAAAAATTACAAAAATTAGCCAGGTGTGGTGATGCACACCTGTAATTCCAGCTATCTGGGAGGCTAAGGCATGAGAATCACTTGACCTGGGTGGTGGAGGTTGCCATAAGCAAAGATCATACCACTGCACTCCAGCCTGGGCAACAGAACAAGACTCTATCTCAAAAAAAAAAAAAAAAAAAAAAAAAGGAAAGAAGAAAAAAGTGGTAGCAGGCAGATCGGAGAAAAAGCACAAGATTTCAGGTGCCACCAGACCATGGTGTATTTACTTTCAAGAGACTCAAAACCTGGAAGTGGATAATGGTGTGGACAGAAAGAACTGCAGGAGATGCCTTCTACTTGATAATCAAACTGTTGAAAGCTAAAGTCAAAGAAAAAAAATCTCAAAAACCAGCCATTGAAAAATGATGCATAACATATAAAACAGCAGTGATTTGAATAACTGTGGATTTCTTAGCAGAAATCATGGAGCCAGAAGAGAGATGAACATTTTTACAAGTGCTTAAAGAAAATAGCTGTCAACCTAGGATACTATATCCAGGGAAAATAGCCCTAAGGAATGCAGATGAAATAAAGTTACTCGTAGGAAGGAAAACTAAGAACATTCATTGCCAGAATTCTATAAGAATCACTAAAGGGAGTTCTTCAGATAGATATTATACCAGAAGGGGACTTGGAGCATTCGGGTGAAGGAAGTGCAATAGAAATGGAAAATATTGTATGTAAATCCAATAGACTGTTCTCTTTTATAAAAATATCTGCAGTGGTTAAAAACAAAGCTAATAGCTTAAACAGAATGGCATTTTAATGTAGGTAATCTAGATTCAGAGACCATGTCTTAACTATTTAGTATACTACAGTTAGATAAAATAAGATGTAAGAACTATTATTGAAGTATTAAATGTTTCACCTATTCTTCTTGGCCTCTTATTCCTTCTCTTTATTTTTCCCCTTCTGTCCATCCTTATCACAGGCAACAATTCATTAGCAGTTACATTGTGCCAGGCACTTTATACCTATTTCTTTAATTTTCACAGTGCTGTTATGAAGCAAGTAGTATATTTCCATTTTTCAGGTGGGAAAACTGAGGCACAGGGAAGTTAAACTTGGCCAACCTCACCCAGCTAGTTAGTACTAGAGATCGAATTCATTGGAGTAATCTGACCTTTTTTCTGATTTATTCATGACTTGTATTTATTTAAAACTCTGATGTTGATATAAGTGAAGTCATGAAATAAATTGAAAATCTGCCAGTAACAGTCCAGTGGATCACCTTGTGGGTTGGTTGGGAAATGGAGCTTATATAACAACATACAGGTTGCTTGATATGTGCTCACATCCCATGATTTCTCCTGATAACTTCTCATTAGACTATCAAAAACCAACTTTTGGCCTTGGTGGCTCAGGCCTTTAATCCCAACTCTTTGATAGACTGAGGTGGGAGGATTATAAGAGGCCAGGAGTTTGAGATCAGCCTGGGCAAATAGTGAGGCCCCCATCTCTGCTAGCTAAATAGATAAGTAAACAAACAAACAACTTTTCAAATGTGTTCTTCTCTCCTAATACAAATATATTTTTGTATCAGAAGGAAAGACTATAGCTAAGTGTTTTTTTTCTTTCATTTTTGAGGCATCCCTCTTACATCTCAAGAACACTAAGATTTCTTAGCAAATATTATGGAGATTGAAATTATGTTCATCAGGTCAGTATTCTTCCTTGAAAGTTTTTTTCACAGTTCCAGAGCTCTTTAGTTTTTCCATATAGAGTAGTGATTTAACTCCCAACATAAATAGCATTGCATTAGCACTTGATTATATCCTGTTTTGAATGTAGTCAGCATTTTCTTATTGGCAATGTATTTTTACCACCATAGAATTGCAAATGTTTGAAGAGCAAGGAATATCTCATTTTTTTCTTTTTCCTAATCTGTATGGTATAACTAGGCAGAAAAGTTGTCCACTAACTTACCTGACCTGGATCATTTAGACCCTTAGTGCAGTTACTTATTCACAATGTTTTTAATCCCAAAGTGAGGACAGCTTAACCTTTTACCCTAGAGCCACATTGGAATGTGAACACTGAGTGAGCAAGATTATATTTGTGTCATTTTAGGGTTCAGTGACTTTCACAGATGTGGCCATAGACTTTTCCCAAGATGAATGGGAGTGGCTGAATCTTGCTCAGAGAAGTTTGTACAAAAAAGTGATGTTAGAAAACTACAGGAACCTAGTTTCAGTGGGTAAGAGTATCTTCCTCCTTCTACCTCTCCATTACTCAGTAGTCTTGTATGCTGTTATCAGAATTTCCCACAGTCTTCCACAGCATAGGCAATTTTTATATCTTTTTTTACATGCAGGTCTTTGCATTTCTAAACCAGATGTGATCTCCTTACTGGAGCAAGAGAAAGACCCTTGGGTGATCAAAGGAGAGATGACCAGAGGCCTGTGCTCAGGTAAGTGCAGGATACCCAGAGATAAACTGTTCTCGACATGTTCTTCTCTCTGAAAAATGTTGGAAAACACCTCTCAAACTCCCTTCGAAATTGAAACTTATTCTTCTAACACCAGTTTTTGAATGGTCATTCTCTTCCCTACTGGTGTAACATACCTGCTTTACCTTTACTGATTTCTTATGCATACCAGGGTCTAAGTTCTTGTTTTACTGATGTTTACCTAATTCTGCTCAAGCACCATAGTGTTGTCATCATCCCTGATTTCAAACATTTCTGAATGCTTTAGAAAAATGGATGTTTAGTTTTTTTGAACTGGTTTTAAATATTTCCCTTTCTTTAAAAGGTGAGTAGATTGAGTTAACATGTATTACACCTATGCTCTTCTCTCTGCCTTTTTCTCTTTTGTATTTCTTTTGTTATGTATTCTTGTTTTGTTGTTTATTAGGTCTGTTTTTCTCACTCTCTTCTTTATACCACCCCACGCTTTGAATTAGAAAAGTTTTTAGTTCTACAAGTTGTTACCTTTATGTATTTATATATTTTTAAATCTTTTAGAATATTTCTGCTTGAAATTCCAAACGTTATCTTCTGATACCCTTATGAAAGATGAAGAAATTAGCTTATGAATATTACTTCTTTTCCCTATGTTCATCATTTCCCCTCTTACATTGTACTCACTGGGATTTTTGGCCCAGGGCATATTATTCAGTTTTAAAAAAAAATTTCTGGCCTTGCTTTGTAGCTGTTTCACTGATTTAGAAAACTGGATAAGAGACAACAAATATATTGCAAGAAAAAGAACCTCAAATGAGATGGTCCTGGTTTAGTCTGTGGCCTGAAGCATAGACTTTTCCTACTTTTGGTTCTTCTTCATTTTATTTTATTTAATTTTTGAAATTAGAGACAGGATCTTGCTATGTTACCCAGGCTGGAGTTAAACTTTTGGGCTCAAGCAATACTCCCACCTCAGCTTCTTGAGTAGCTAGGACTACAGGATTGCACATCACACCTGGCCCTACTTTCAGTTCTTATAGTTCCAAGAAGAGGATTAAGGGTCACTTGTGGTCCTAACTATGTACATTAATAAATAAGAAATAATTAAAATCAGTAAGCATCCAATTCACAATATTAGAAAAAGAACAAAATGAATTTAAGGAAAACCTGGATAAGTTATATGTTGCGATTTATACTTCTAAAAATAAAAGTAGGAATAAATGAATTAGAAACAGTAGCTCTAGTGAAAATAAATCAAGTATTGTACATACTTCATTAGAAAACCAATGCAATATATAAACTGTAAGAACAAATGAGAGAAAACACAAAGACAAAATAATTATAAATAACCACATGTATAAGAATTTAAAAGAATCATATGAATCTCTTTTCCTCAACTCTCTGTAAATAATTTGAAAAAATAGATGATATTCTAGGAGAGTATAAAAATGTAGGTTACTGTAATTAATACCAAGAGGAACTGTAAAATTTAAACAAGTAGGTTACCATCAAAGAAATGTAGAATGTTGTATAGAAACTGCCTCCCCAAGAAAAGAAGCTACGTTCCCAAATAGTTGTTTAAGGAAAAATTTCACCAATGTTGTTTAAATTGTTCTGGGATAGAGAATAGAAGGAGAGCTTAAAATATATTTATCAATACAGCATATCCTATGATACCAATATCTACCATAATAGCACCAAAAAGGGAAATTAGACGCAAACCTCAAATACCAATATTGGTTCAAAATCATAAAATAGTATACCACGACCAGTGAGGATTTATTATAGCAGTACAAGGATGGTTGTATCACTAAATCTTATATAAGAACTATAAAACATGTACCTCTGCTTGTGGGTTTCAATAACTATGTGACCCACATTCTCATTTTTGAAGTTTCCATTTTAGCATTTAATAAAGGAGACATTTGCTTTCTAAATATCTTTCAGACTTGGAGTATGTGTGGGTGACCAAGTCATTATCTCCAAATCAGGATATTTATGAAGAAAAATTACCCCCCACAATAATAATGGAAGGATTTACAAGTTATAACCTTGAATGTTCAACATTAGGGAAAAACTGGAAATGTGAAGACCTGTTTGAGAGGGAGCTTATAAATCAGAAGACACATTTTAGACAAGAGACCATTACTCATACAGATACTCTTATTGAAAAAAGAGACCACTTCAACAAATCTGGGACAGATTTTCATCTGAATACTTTATCTTATATAAAACAGGTGTTTCCCATAGAAAAGAAAACATTTCATTTTCATACAGATAAGAAAAGCTTAAAAACACATTCAGTTATGAAAAAACACAAGCAAGACTGTGGAGAAAAGAAACTTTTAAAATGTAATGATTGTGAGAAAATGTTCAGCAAAATCTCAACCCTTACTCTTCACCAAAGAATTCATACTGGAGAGAAACCCTATGGATGTATTGAATGTGGAAAGGCCTTTAGCCAGAGTGCCCACCTTGCTCAACATCAGAGAATACACACAGGAGAAAAACCCTTTGAATGTACTGAATGTGGGAAAGCCTTCAGCCAGAATGCTCATCTTGTTCAACACCGGAGAGTTCATACTGGAGAGAAACCTTATAAGTGTAAGCAGTGTAATAAAGCATTCAGCCAGCTTGCACACCTTGCTCAACATCAGAGGGTTCACACTGGAGAAAAACCCTATGAATGTATTGAATGTGGGAAGGCTTTTAGTGATTGCTCATCCTTAGCTCATCATCGAAGGATTCACACTGGGAAAAGACCCTATGAATGTATTGACTGTGGGAAAGCTTTCAGGCAAAATGCTTCTCTTATACGTCATCGGCGATATTATCATACTGGAGAGAAACCCTTTGACTGCATTGATTGTGGAAAGGCTTTCACTGATCACATAGGGCTTATTCAGCATAAGAGAATTCATACTGGAGAGAGACCTTATAAATGTAATGTGTGTGGGAAGGCTTTTAGCCATGGCTCATCTCTGACAGTACATCAGAGAATTCATACAGGAGAGAAACCTTATGAATGCAATATCTGTGAGAAAGCCTTCAGCCATCGTGGGTCTCTTACTCTTCATCAAAGAGTTCATACTGGAGAGAAACCCTATGAATGTAAAGAATGTGGGAAAGCTTTCCGGCAGAGCACGCATCTTGCTCATCATCAGAGAATTCATACTGGAGAGAAACCTTATGAATGTAAGGAATGCAGCAAAACCTTCAGCCAGAATGCACACCTTGTACAACATCAGAAAATACACACTGGGGAGAAACCTTATGAATGTAAGGAATGTGGTAAGGCCTTCAGTCAGATTGCACACCTTGTTCAGCACCAGAGAGTTCATACTGGTGAGAAGCCTTACGAATGTATCGAATGTGGGAAGGCCTTTAGTGATGGCTCATATCTTGTTCAGCATCAGAGACTCCACACTGGCAAAAGACCATATGAATGTCTTGAATGTGGGAAGGCATTCAGACAGAGGGCATCCCTGATTTGTCATCAGAGATGTCATACTGGTGAGAAACCTTATGAATGTAATGTTTGTGGGAAAGCCTTTAGCCATCGTAAATCCCTTACTCTACATCAGAGAATTCATACAGGAGAGAAACCTTATGAGTGTAAAGAATGTAGCAAAGCCTTCAGCCAGGTTGCCCATCTTACACTACATAAGAGAATTCATACTGGAGAAAGGCCCTATGAGTGTAAAGAATGTGGAAAAGCCTTCAGGCAGAGTGTACACCTTGCACATCATCAGCGAATTCATACTGGAGAGTTATCAGTTATTCTCTCCTCTGCCCTCCCATACCACCAAGTCCTATAGATTCAATCTTGTAAATGCCTCTAGAATCCATCTGCTTTTTTTTCCAGCACATGTCACATCATCATAGTCCAAGGTGCAACCATCTCATCTGGATTTCTGCAATACTGTAACTCTTGCCCTTTTTGCTCCTATCAAGTACATGTTTAACATTGTAGGCAGCCTAATCTTTGAAAAATAAAAATACATATTTATGTTACCTTCTCATTTAAAACACTTGATTTGAAAAATATATTAACTAATCCATTTCAAGGGTTTAGTACACACTATTTGGCATATAGTTAGTGCCAAATAATTGCTAGCCATAAGGTAAAGGTTTCCTTACAAACTATCATATTAAGCCACAAGTAAACCAAACCAGTAAGTCAAGACTAAGATTTTAGAGCAGACAGAAGACTGTACTTTCCTGGTAGAGAGAAGGAGATGAACAAACTCAGAATTTAAAGATGTATGGTACACAAGGTAACATGGTAGCTTATCACTCCCTCTGTGACATTGTTGATGAGGAACTCTCACTTGACCTGATACTGAGAAGAGAGAATCAGCCAATTAGAACAAAAGCTTTTTGCTGGGCGTGGTGGCTCATGCCTATAACCCCAGCACTTTGGGAGGCCAAGGCAGGCAGATAGCTTGAGCTCAGGAGTTTGAGATCAGCCTGAGTGACATGGTGAAATCTTATCTCTACAAAAAAACACAAAAATTAGCCTGGCATAATAGTACACACCTGTAGTCCTAGCTACTCGGGAGGCTGAGACAGGAGGATCACTGGAGCCAGGAGGCAGAGGCTGCAGTGAGTCATGATCACACAGCTGCAATTCAAGCCTGGGCAGCAGAGCCAGGCTGGAAGAAAAATTTAAAAAGAACAAAAGCATTTGGTAGAATGCAGAAATGTAGAACTAACCACTAACCTGGGGAGTAGTATTAAAAGTCAAGCCAAAAAACTTGAATAGATTAATAGCCATGAAACAAACTAAAAGGGTAAATACTTTCACTTTTGTAAAAGTACCACAGGCAATTTCTGTGGTGTTTAAATAGTCCTAGCATAAAATAAAATGCAAACTTTCCATCTTCATCCTTGAGATTGACAGGACATGCCAAAACATAAAAATATGTACACTGCAATTAGCTTCTGAATGTAGATGTTACAATTTAAACTTATTTTCAAAATATTAAAAAATAGGAAGGCTGGACATGTCTCTGTATAGAAAATCTGATAAAGATATTTCTAAGTTAAATTTGTAAATTCATGGATATTCAAATAAAAATGACAGATTCCAATAAAAATCTCCAATATATTTTTTAGTTGAGAAGCTAATTTGGATCATCTGTAGAATTTTGATTTTAGCAAGGAATGTAGTTTACACTGGGAATGTAGTACTAATACTAATTGAACATTTGCTAATGTGTCACACACTGTTTTAGGTGCTGGGGGATACAACAAGGCACAAAATGGACAAAAATATTTGCTCTTACAGATCTAGTAGAAAAGAAAAAATTAAATACATGCCTTGTGATAAATACATAGTATGTCCCATAAAGAGAAATGGTCTAAAAAAGAAGCTAGGAAGTGCTGGATCAGGCACCTTACTATCCCCAGAATATGTGGGTTAGAGACAGAGGATGAGGGAAGAACTAAAGGTAACTGTGAGACACAAAAGGCATAATGAAAACAGTCATCATAATCTCAAGGCAGATGATATGATGCTTTGAGTGTTGGAGGAAAGGAGGATTGATGGTTTAGCAGAGATTGTGGCAGTTATGTTCACTCATATAAATGTTGATTTAGAGGCTGTTGGAAGGATATTTTTTGAGTGATAGCTTTATTGAGAAATAATTCACATACTAAGCAATTCTGCAGAAGAACACCCATGTCGTATCCTCTCTGTATCCATCAGCAGAAGTGAAGAGGGAGCCCCAAAGCTCCACTTAAAGTGTACAACTTACAGCTTTTAGTTCATTCACAGAGTTGTGCAACCATCACCATGGTCAATTTTAGAACATTTTCATCACCTCAAAGAGGAATTCCATGTCCTTTTGTAGTAATGTTTATCCCTGGAAGAGTACTTTTTTTTTCAAACTGAAGCACCCAGAGCTCTTGGGTTTGCTCTTAACTGCTTCCCGTGGCAGTATACAATGCCATGTGAGGAAAGCTCTCATCCAGAGTACATGATTGCTAGAAAATGGAACTTGGGGCTCCCTCTTTACTTCTGCTGATAGAAGCATAGTGGCTAGGGGATGGGTAGTCTCATGAGAGAATGTGGAGCTTTCAGACTCCCCTCATATAAAATGAAAAGTATTTTTCATTGTAGTGGGGAAAAGGTGGTTTGATCAGATGTCATTGGGAAACTTAGCTCACTACAAAAACAGATCTATACAGATCTGTACCTTTCACACTAACAAAGGCCTAAGAGATTAAAGGTCTAAATGTAAAATTAATGTACATGAAAAACAGAATAATATTTCTGTACCCTTGGTTTCAAATAGACTTTAGGCATTAATGCATAACCCCAAAGCTGACATTCGATTTTTATATGGTAGAAAACATCACAGTCAGATGAATGAGAGACTGACACAAAATGTTTGCAACAAATATAACAAAGAACCCTAATTCATGATATTCAAAGTACTATTACAAACCAATAACACTCTGCAACTTAGAAAAATGGACAAAACTAATGGTCCATTCACAAAAGATGAAATAAAAGCAGTTAATGAAAATTATCCAATATCACTAGAAACCAAGGAAATGCAAATTAAAGTGATTATATACTTTTTCCCCAAAAGACTAATCAATTGATAACATCCAGTATTGGTGAATATGTGTAAACAAGGCAATTCCATTGTTGATTCTATATCTATTGCTTTTTGTATATACCCTTTGAATTAATATTCCTTGGAAACCAACATATACAAAGATAGATAAATGTATTAGTGGCAAAAAAAATTAATGGTAAACTATTAACCTAAGTTCCCATCAGGGTAATGAATAAATTAATTATGGTATATATCCATTCAATCGGAATTATGCAGCTGTTGAAAAAATATAAATGTGTATAGTCATAGAAAGATAGCTGTGCTATACTAAATGAAAAATTATAGACCTGTATTGTAGTATAGACTCGTAATATCAAAAATAAAAATATATATTAGAGTAAGCATCTGTTTTTGTCTGCCCAGCTTCACTTGCCTCTTCCTCTTCCTTTTGGCTGCACCATCTCATCCTTTCCTTTGAGTAACTGGCCATACCCTATCATATGGTTCTGATGGATGTGGCCAATATAATCGTCTCTGAATTTCAAAAGGCATTTGGGTCTGTGTCATCCAATGACAACTCTCTAAAAATGGATACAGTTATTCTTTTGGAATCACTCAGTTTTTGTACTTTCTAAGACTGTAATACCTCAGACTACCCATTATCTTTCCAGCACTTGATTTTTGCCTCCGGTTGGTCAGTTGCTTGCAATTAAAGAAATAATCATACAGAATTTGGTATGAAGAGTGGATAATAGGCATTAGAATCTTTGGAAAATTATGTATTGGGAGTTGCTTTTTGGATGAGATGGGGCAAATAAGACTTATTTTTTAGCCTGTAAAGCAACTCATGGTGTACAATGAGCAAACACCTGATTATTGTTAATTGTAGTCACCTGGGATGAATAGAGGTCCAGGGTTCTGGATAATGACAATTTAAAGAGGATGGAGAATGCTGACTCCAAAAGGTATATCGAATACTGGTATCTAACTGCTTTTAATAATTTAAAGTTTAGCCGTTGAACTTCTAGCATTAAGGCAAAAAATTCAACTAAGGGATTTCATGTGTTATTGTTGAAAGATGCCTTACACTGTTTGAAGTCATAGGGATTAAGATGGCTCAAAATTCAGAGACTATTTAGAGACATTTTTATGCACTGCTAAAGTGGAATGCTGGTTAAATTTCATACTTTATTCACAATAGTCACTGTGAACTGAACTGTGAATTCAGTTCTGAATTGTGTTCCCACCACCACCATCACCAAATTTACTTGTTGAAGTCCTAAACCTCAAAGTGACTGTATTTGGATATAAGGCCTTTAAGAAACTAAGGTTAAGCTAGGCCTAATCCTATAGGACTAGTGTCCTTGTAAGAGGAAGAGACACCAGAGCTCTGTCTCTCTCCACATGTGCACAGAGGAAATGCCATGTAAGGACACAGTAAGAATGCTGCCATCTGCAAGCCAGGAGGAGAGATCTCACCAGGAACCAGCCCTGCCAGCACCTTGATCTTGGACTTTTAGTCTCCAGAACTGTGAGAAAATAAATGTTGGTTGTTTAAGCCACCCAGTCTATGAAAAGATGCTCAACATCATTAGTCACTAGGGAAATGAATATCAAAACCACAATGAATTGACCCCTGGAAGGACCAGAGGGCAAGGAATGCTGGGTGACAGAGCAAGACATTGCCTCAAAAACAATCTATGCTTCATAAAACACCATTAAGAAAATGAAACAATAAATTCACAAAATGATAGAAGATATTTGCAAATCATTTATCTGTAAAGGACAGGAATCCAGAATTGCAGCTTAACAATAACAAGACAAATAGCCCAATTTAAAATAGGCAAAAGGCTTGAATAGACATTTCTCCAAAGAAAATATATGAATGAACAACAAGCACATGAAAAAATGCTCAACATCATTAGTCATTAGGGTAATGCATATCAAAACCACAATCAGTTGCCCCCTGGAAGGGCCAGACAGAGGGCAAGGAATGCTGGGGTGGATAACCGCATCCCTGTAGGTGAAAGAGCCCTCCCAGTGTTCTCGCTCTCCAATGACAGCTGGAAATGTGGTGTCTTGTTTTGTGGAAATGAAGGCAGATGAATCATGAGAATAATGGGGTAAAAATCCTGCAACGTGTGCACACATATTTATTCCATCTTAATTTTGTTCTAATAAAAGACCTTGCATATAGGAACTAGCCATGTATTCCTTTGTTCCCACTGAAAGATTTGTTTTCCCTATTAAAAAGAAGCACACACACATTGATCTATACATTCGATGTAATTCCAAAAAAATCATAGTATGATTTTAATTAACCATCGTAGACTGATTCTGTTACCACAAATGGACTCTGAGTTCTTTGGCTCTCACATAAGTAGAAATTAACATCAAGCCAAACAGAAATTTTCTCAGGGAAGGTTTAAGAGGCTTGAAGCTCAAGATATGCAAAGTCTCTTCCACATTTTCGGGTATCTTATCAGCAACGCCCCACTCTACTGGTACCAATTTACCGTATTAGTCTGTTTTCATGCTGCTGATAAAGACATCCAGGACTTGCAAGAAAAAGAGGTTTAATTGGACTTACAGTTTCACATGGCTGGGGAGATCTCAGAATTGCGGGAGGCAAAAAGCACTTTTTACATGGTAGGGACAAGAGAAAATGTGAAAGAAGCAAAAGTGGAAACCCTTGATAGCCCCATCAGATCTCATGACACTTATTCACTATCACAAGAATAGCATGGGAAAGACCAGCCCTCATGATTCAGGTACCTCCCCCTGGGTCCCTCCCACAACACATGGGAATTCTGGGAGATACAATTCAAGTTGAGGTTTGGGTAGGCACACAGCCAAACCATATCACTGTCCTTTGGGAAACATAAAGTTAGGTTGCCAACTTTATCACACTTCTCAGTTTAAATTGTAGGCAGACAAGTTTCCATTTCTTACTAGAGAAGTCTTGGCAATAACTGAACAATGTCTCTACCTGTTTACCCCAGAAGGACAAGCCTTGACTTTTACAGGAAGCTGGCCAGGAGGTGACACAGGAGCCATCTGGTAAGTTGAAGGAATTGACATTTCTAGATCACAGTAGGAAAAATTTCCATCACTCACCCAATGTGGCCTTCACACTGACGTGTTTATTGTGCTCCTTGTATCCAACGAGGCTGGAACTCAGAATGCATGTACCTCATGGAACATTAAGGAACAGTGTTCATAAGGGCAGTAAGGGCTGCTGTTCTTGTGATTAAACACTATTAATATAGTTCCTACACAGGATAGTCTGAGTTACACATGATTTAGAGTAACTCAAATGAATTCCTCAGTTTTTAATTAATAGCATATTGTGGTTTTAAATAAAATGTTTTCAGAAGAGGAAAAAGGCTTTAATTAAATCTGAATAATTTTAGAGGAAATATATGATCATAAGAGTCAAAATGTGCCTCAAAATAGACATAAATGGACTAAATGAATGTTAAAATTTTTAAAATCAAAATAATTTAGAATGCACATACTAACTTGAAAACAGGCAAAACAGACAGATATAAGGGTTTTATTTGCCAGGGGAGAATCTGTAAAATTAATTATGTGAACTTCTCAGTTGTAACTATGTATTTTTACAATCTACTCTCTGACTACTTCCTTCTTTGGGGAACAGTGATTTAGATATCCTGAAAATGTCACATCAGTAAGTTGAACAAGAAGAACAGGAGTGTTAAGAACAAGACTCAAGATGAAGCAACACAAGTTTTGAATATTTTATAATAGCTAAAGGCACAAAAAGTTGCCAATTGTCTCAGACTTCCACAAAGTGAAAAAAAAAAATAGAATCTTAATTGAAAAGAAGAAAAAGCATGAAAACGAGAGAATGCATGCTGAGAGTGGGGAAAGGTAAGTACCAGCTGGACTCTTGCCCTGGGCTCATGGTCTCCACCTCTTGAAATAGTTTGGATATTTGTCCCTGCCCAAAATCTCATGTTGGATTGTCATCTCCAGTGCTGGAGATGGGGCCTGGTTGGAGGTGTTTGGATCATGGGACAGTTCCCTCATGGCATGGTGTGTCTTCTCGATAATAAGAGAGTTCTTGTGAGATTAGGTCATTTAAAAATGTGTAGCATGTTCCCCCCCTTCTCTCTTGCTCGTGTGTTTTTGCCATGTGATGTGTGGCTCCCCTTTCAGCTTTTGCCATGATTGTAAGCTTCCTGAGGCCTCCCCAGAAGTCAAATGCCAATGCCATGTTTCCTGTACAGCCTGCAGAACTGTAAGCCAATTAAACCCCTTTTCCTTACAAATTACCCAGTCTCAGGTATTTCTTTATAGCAATGCAAGAATGGCCTAATGTGCTCCTCAAGGACCTCATCTCTGAGAGGTCATACAACTCTTAAATTAGAGGGGCACTTCATTGCTGGATCCAGGAAGACAGGCCCCAGTTCCAGGTTCTGGAAAGAGAGTCCTGGGGCAGTAAAGGGTCTGCTTCCCTGGTAGGGAATATCCAGAGGCATTGCTGAGGAGGAGTCCTGCCCTCTGAGCAGGTGATGACCAGCAGCTGGACCTCCTACCAGCCCACAGGGTCAAGGAGGGAGACCACCTTGGGCAAAGGAGGTGAGGGAAAAGGAGGTGAGGCTGCTGAGTGAAGGTTGCAGTCCTGTCCTCTGCCTAATCCACAAAACCCAGAGGTCAGCCTCCAGCCCCTCATACTCCAGCCTTGGGAGGCCTAATGGGAACCCACTGAGTGCTGAGCTCCAGGGCCCAGGAGAGTTGACAGCCACCTTCAAGTCACCACCACCTGCTGTCCTGGTAGGGACCCTGGCTTCTGTCTCCAGGAATCCCCAACAAGTCTCCCCAAGGTCCCCAACAGCGTGCTCAAGGACTCTTAGGAAATGCTGAGTTAAAGGCTCTCTGAGGTCACACTAGTCCCAGAGGAGGCTCACCTGGCATGGGAGGTTGGTGCCATGGTCTGGAGGCTCTGGGTTGAGGATAAACATTGATCTCTAGGGAGTTGTGGGGCCCAGGGAGGCCAGGCCAGCCCCCATCCAGGAGGAGGTAGAGACTGAACCCCCCTCACAGACCTGGGAAAAAGGACGACCATCCTTGGATGTCCAAGTTCCGGGATTTCTGGAGCGTGGACATTCAGCTACTGGCTCAGAGGCAGGAGGAGAGAGGGGCAGAGACGAGGACTCAGAGATCCAGGGGATCCCCTGAGACTGCCACCTTTTCAAATCTGAGCCTGCTTCTGCCCACTCACTGGGAGAGGTGAGAGGGTCCCATTCCAGCTCAGCTTATGGAGTAGGGGGCCCACACTCCATCCCTCATGCCCTCCCTAGAACCAATTCTGTATCTGGCACATGCACTGAGAGCCTGTTAATTCAGTGACGATATCTGACAGTAGGTCCTTTCTCCATCTGAACGTAGCAACTCCCTGTATCCCCCATGTGGGCATCTCTGATGCTCAGGAGCAGCTCTAGGTCTTGGGGTACCCCAGGGAGACAAATGGACTCTGGGTTTCTTACTATATTTTGTGGGAAGGGTCATTTGTGGCCACTGGATCATTCAAATAAAAATGGTTCTCATCATGGACTCAGTACTCCCGAGCTGGAAAACCATCAGACAGGACATTCTGGAGATGGGCAGAGGCACAGGGCACCAGGACACACAGGCCCCCCCGTGCCCACACTGAACTTCTGCACTCACAGCTGGAGTCGTGGATCCTGAGCCAGGCACTCTGGAAGAAACACCTGGGGAGTAATAGCTGTGGTTGGTTCCAAAGGCCAACAACCTGGGGCCCCAACAACCCCTCCCTCCTGTGCCTCCCTTGGGATCATTTACACACCCATACATACATAAAGCAGAGGCCACAGCAGCAGCTCAGTGGCATCTCTGTGCTGGAGAACGAGGCCTGCCCCCATACTGTCCAGTTCCTCTTTTTGGGGAAGAAAGAGGAAAAATCTCACTGGAAGCCACTGGGGGAGGTCAGGATGGTGACTGAACCCAGAAGGGAAACTTAAGATCCACAGTCCTTGGAAATCAAAGAAGAGCTTAATAAATTGAGAGATATTCCATGTTCATGGGTAGGATGACTTGGTATTGTTCAGATGTCAGTTCTTCCTAAGTAATCTGTAGACTCAACCAATCCCACCTAAAATCACAGCAAGTTATTTTGTGGATCTTGAGAAATTGATTATAAAGTTCATATGAAAAGACAAAAGTACTCAGAATAGCGAACCCAATACTAAAGAAGAAGAGTTGGAGAGCTGATACTACCCAACTTCAAGACAGAGCTATTGTAATTGAGACAGTGTAGTATTGCCTAAAGAGTAGAGATGGAGCAATGGAACAGAATAGAGACCCCAGAAATAGACCTACATCAATGTAGTCAGCTGATCTTTGTCAAAGAAGCAAAGGCAACTAATGGAGAAAGAACAGTCTTTTCAAAAAACGGTGCTGGAACAATGGGATATCCGAATGCAAAAAAACAGACACAGACATTTTACACAAAATTAACTTAAAATGGATCATAGACTTAAATGTAAAAATGTAAAATTATAAAACTCTTAGAAAGTAACAGGAGAAAATCTAGGTGACCTTCATTTTAGCAATGAGTTTTTAAATACAAGGTTGAAAAGCACAATCCACAATAATAAAAATAAAAGCACAATCCATGAAAGAAAAAACTTATAAGCTGTTCATTAAAATTAAAAACTGCTGTGTAGGCTGAGCCTGATGGCTCATGCCTGTAATCACAGAACTTTGGGAAACCAAGGCGGGTGGATCATCTGAGGCCAGGAGATTGGGACCAACCTGGCCAACATGGTGAAACCCTGTCTCTACTAAAAATACAAAAAATTAGCTGGGTGTGGTGGTAGGCACCTGTAATCCCAGCTACTCAGAGGCTGAGGGAAAAGAATGCCTAAACCCAGGAAACGGAGGTTGCAGTGAGCTGAGATCATACCACTGCACGTCAGCCTGAGAGACATAGAGAGACTATGTCTCAAAAAGCAAACAAAAAACTGCTCTGTGAAAAATACTGTTAGACTTAAAAGACAAATCACCATTGGGAGGAAATATTTTCAAAATACATAGCTGCTAAAGGACTTACATACAAAATATACAAAGAACTCATAAAAACTCAACAATAAGAAAACTCACTTCAAAAGTGGGCAAAAGATCTAACAAAAACCAGCAAAGAGGATATACAGTTGGTAAATAAGCATAGGAAAAGATGCTTACCATCATATTATCATCATATGTCATCAGGGAATTGCAAATTCAAACAATAACAAGATATGACTACACACCTATAGAATGACTAAAATCCAAAAAGCACTTTCAATACCAAATGGTGGTGAGGTTGTGGACAGCAGTTCTCATTCATTGCTGGGGGGAATGCAGTCTGGAAAACAGTTTGGTGATTTCTTACAAAGCTAAACATACTCTTGCCATATGATCTGGCAGTCACACTCCTGGGTATCTGGCTAGGATTTGGAAAAACCGAGTATCTCATAAATTGCTGTAGGAATGTAAAATGGTATAGTCACTCTGAAAAACAGTTTGACAGTTTCTTAAGAAAAAGCTAAACATACTATATGACCTAGTAATTACATTCCTGAGCATTTATTCTAGAGAAATGAAGAGTTATGGTCACACAAAATCCTGTAATAAGAAAACAACAGTGGGAAGAAGCAGCCTACTGAATGGGAGATGGACAGATTAAAACACACACACACACACACACACACACACACACACACACACACACACA